CAAAGCCTCACTATTGATTTATGAATTTCTCAAATATAATCATTTTACTATTTTATATGATTATTTTATTGTAAAAACTTCACCCTCTCTAACAGTTTGAGACCATCTTAAGAACCTGAATGTGCACAAGTCCATGGGACCTGATGAAATCCATCTGCGGGTCCTGAAGGAGCTGGCGAATGAAGTCACTAAGCCTCTGTCCATCATATGTGAGAAATCATGGCAGACAGGTGAAGTTCCTGATGACTGGAAAAAGGGAAATATAACCCCCATTTTCAAGAAGGGGAAAATGGATGACCCAGGGAATTACAGACCAGTCAGTCTCACCTCTGTGCCTGGCAAAATCTTGGAGCAGATTCTCCTGGAAGGCATGCTAAGGCACATGAGAAAAAACAAGGCACTTGGTGACATCCAGCATGGCTTCACTAAGGGGAAATCCTGCCTGACCAATCTGATGGCCTTCTATGATGGGGCTACAGAACTGATGGACAGGGGTAGAGCAGTTGATGTCATCTACCTGGACTTGTGCAAAGCGTTTGACACTGTCCCACACGGCATCCTTGTCTCTAAATTGGAGAGACATCAATTTGATGGATGGAGCACTCGGTGGATAAAGAACTGGCTGGATGGCCGCACACAAAGAGTTGTGGTCAATGGCTCAGTGTCCGGCTGGAGACCAGTAATGAGTGGTGTCCCTCAGGGGACCGGTCTTGTTCAACATCTTTGTTGGTGACATGGACAGTGGGATTGAGTGTGCCCTCACCAAGTTTGCCGATGACACCAAGCTGTGTGGTTGGGTTGATACGCTGGAGGGAAGGAATGCCATCCAGAGGGACCTTGACACGCTTGTGAGGTGGGCTGATGCCAACCTCATGAAGTGTAACCAAGACAAGTGCAAGGTCCTACACCTGGGTCAGAGCAACCCCAGGCACAGCTACAGGTTGGGCAGAGAAGAGATTCAGAGCAGCCCTGTGGAGAAGGACTTGGGGGTGTTGGCTAATGAGAAAATGAACATGAGCCGGCTTCAGTGTGCACTTGCAGCACAGAAAGCCAACCGTATCCTGGGCTGCATCAAAAAGAGCGTGACCAGCAGGTTGAAGGAGGTGATCCTACCCCTCTACTCTGCTCTTGTGAGACCTCACTTGGAGTATTGTGTGCCGTTCTGGTGTCCTCAACATAAAAAGGATATGGAACTGTTGGAACAAGTCCAGAGAAGGGCCATGAGGATGACCAGGGGACTGGAGCACCTTCCGTATGAAGATAGGCTGAGAAAGTTGGGGCTGTTCGGCCTGGAGAAGAGAAGGCTGCGTGGAGACCTCAGAGCAGTCTTCCAGTGTCTGAAGGGGGCCTGTAAGGGATGCTGAGGTGGGCCTCTTCATTAGGGACTGTAGTGATAGGACAAGGGGTAACGAGTTAAAACTTAAACAGGGGAAGTTTAGATTGGATATAAGGAAGAAGTTCTTTACTGTGAGGGTGGTGAGGCACTGGAATGGGTTGCCCAGGGAAGTTGTGAATGCTCCATCCCTGGTGGTGCTCAAGGCCAGGTTGGACAAAGCCTTGGGTGACATGTTTTAGTGTGAGGTGTCCCTGCCCATGGCGGGGGGGTGGGACTAGATGATCTTAAGGTCCTTTCCACCCCTAACTATTCTATGATTCTATGTGTAAAGAACAGGCTAAAAAAAAATTCAGCAGACATTCAAGGGCATTATATAGATTATACCAATCTTCAATTTTTGTCTTGCTACTATTAAAAAAGAAATAAATAAAAAACCCAACACAGCACAGATCACAGTCCCAGGAAGTCTCAGTTTGTCTATCTATTGATAAAATCAAACATTTTCTCAACTTTTTCTCCAACATAAACGGTTCTCCATTTCCTCTAATCATCATGGTTGTCCTTATCAGGGCCTTTCCTAATTTCAGTATTTATTTATTTTTTATTTATAGTTAATAGAACTTCATGCAATATTTGAAAGATTGTCTCTCTGGACCCTGGGACACTGACAGTAAAATTTATCTACTTAGAAATCTCTCTCCTGCATCTTACAGTCACATCGATGAGTGTTTTTTTTTTTTTAAACTGATAAAAGCCCTATTCATGGCATTAAGTTTCAGTAGTATTTTCAAAATGCATTTCCTTGTACTTTGTGCAGTTATATATATTATCCTTTTTCTACTACTCTGAGTTTTCTGATCCTCTTATACTTTGACAGTTCTTAGCAACTGTGTTACAGAAATTACTTACTTTATGCCATATATTGATGAAAATATGAAATCCAGATAAATTCCAACACTGATTCCCGAGAAAGTTACTAGCATCCCTATAAACTAATACTTCATGTTTTGCACAAATGTGTAATTTCCCATCTAGCTAGTAATTTTTTTTGTCTGCATTCCTGGGATAATTCTTTTCTCCATTTTAGCTACTGATTTCTCGTATAATATTTGAGTAGATTAAAGCTACTGTAATTTCCTTGTGTACAAATATGAATTCTTATCATCAGGGAGGAAATCAGGTACTTGAACAATACAAATCTGATACCTTGCGCTATCTGCAGTAAACTGATGCTAGTAATTTTTTCTGTTTAGCTGTATATATTGGGAGATAACTGTCCATTCATTTAAAATTGCTCAAAAACATTACCTAGTGTTGCTTTGGTGTAAGATACATGGGCATTGCTACTATAGCTGCACATTCACAGTAGTTTCAGAAAAGTGCTGCTGTAAGAGTATCTCTTTAAACATGAGTAGTGGGCTATACTCCAAATTTCTCATGACAATAACGAATTTTAGATGTGTGCTCTTAAACAATATTACTGCTGTAAGATTCTGTCTCTGTCTTCTAAAATTTTCACACTTGCTACTCCGGTCATGGACCAAGAATTTTTGTCAAAGAAATAAGTTAATCTCAGAACACTATTGTAGAATTTCAAGGTCTTAAGGTTTATCATCAAACATGAACCAAGATTAAGTTAATGTCTCCCCATCTCTCCTCTCAAAGTATGAGAGAATATATTTGTTTTAATAGTTACTGATTCTAGAATACTCCATACCCCAAGGAATGTGCATTTTACACACAAAGTACAATGGGCACACAAAAGTAAAAATTTCCTCAAAAAGTATAGCCTAATGCTTATAGCAAGACACAAACAAGACTTATAGATTCTACCATCAAGAATCAATAATATATTAGATCTCATAACATGCCTTTACAGTGACTTTTTCCTGCTTTTTCTTAAAAGCAGTAGTAATTATTCAAATATATTGCTAAGTGTTATGGAGAACATATTCTCAACTTGTTATTTTCTAAATACAAAGATACTGCCATGCACCACACCAAGGTCAACCTAATTATCAGCTTCTGAGATGTCTTTTGTTTTTGGAGATGGCTAAACATGACCAAGTGATAATATGCATCCTACCATATTTTTTCAAGAATGTCATAGAAAACTTAGCACAAATCCTCAAATCACTGGTTTCACTAGTCCTCAAATACAAGGGGTAGCTGTTTAAAACTTAAACAGGGGAAGTTTAAATTGCATATAAGGAAGAAGTTCTTTACTGTAAGGGTGGTAAGGCACTGGAATGGGTTGGCCAGGGAAGTTGTGAATGCTCCATCCCTGGCGGTGTTCAAGGCCAGGTTGGACAAAGCCTTGGGTAGCATGGTTTAGTGTGAGGTGTCCCTGCCCATGGCAGGGGGGTTGGAACTAGATGATCTTAAGGTCCTTTCCAACCCTAACTATTCTATGATTCTAAATAATATTCTGCTGCAGAATCATTCTGTGAATCAGAACAAAATCCACTGACTCCTTTAAGAAAATACCCATAGCTAGCACTGAAAATACTGAGTGACACCTGAGACAAAAGTGGTTTTGTTGAACCTCACAATAGAACTGCAGGATAGCTTATTGCCTGAGGTTTCAGACATACAGATCCCTTTTAAGTATCTCAAATAGTCAATAAACACAAAATTCAGCATGTTGTGATGAACTCAGTCATCATCACTATACTATTACTTAGCGTTTTAACTATGTCTTAGTGTTTTAGCAGGATCAAAGACACTGTGATGGAGGGAAAAGTCAGTAATACAGGTAACATATGTAGCATAGATGAGTCATCCAGATGATAGGGGGCTTCCACAGTCAGGCCTTTATTACTGCTGCTATACTTTAAAGGAAGCTCTCTTTTAAGAAACAGTGATATTAATCAGTGGTGGAAAACAATCTTAGCAAGCTTTGTGTGTGTTCCTAAATGTGTACCATTTGATATGGGTATCAGCTAATTATAAACATTGGGAGTGAGGGTGTTTTCGTAATATTCCTTCCTGTTATCAGCCATCCGTCAGCGATATAATTTCCCTTAATTCTATGACATTGATACTCAGCTTCCACTAAACTAAAGCTTTAATACAAAAACTTTGCCTTGAAAATTATGAAATGTATTTAAGGGTATAATTCAAGAATATATTGGTAATCCTTCAATGCATTCCAGATAAGTTGCTACACCTGTGTAACATCTTGTGTAGCATCACACCTTGGCAGAGATATGGAACCTTTCTTAAAGAGGTCTTTTTCAGCAGGGCTAATGGGCTTTGAGAGAACCTAATGCTTAAAGTCATGAGTTTGTAATTCCAGAGCTAGCTGAATGAGAGTCCTCATGGCTGTCATTGAACAGGCCTGATGTATCCCAAGGAAACAGAAATCCACATCCAATACAGTTTACTACAATATTTCAAAACTGTTTGAAAAGTGATCTTACATTCATGCAAATTTGACTTAGTCATATGGCATATGCAGAGTAAAAAGTATGAATGCAATGTGACATTTCTTGATTTTTGAGAGCCCAACGTAGCAAACTCAATATTTACCTGCTGTAATTTTGTGAAATATTTATTTCTATATCCATTGACATAATATATTTAGAATTTTAATTACTGAAATGCATTTTGCATAAGAATCTTGAGTTTAAGTAATTCAGTGAGTCTTTTTGTCTTTTGATAGCTAGGAAATGGAAGGTGTCAGTCCTCACCAGCAATATGCCATCTGCAGGAACAAGCTCAAAGGTTTATATTACATTGTACGGGGATCGCAGCAGTTCAGGGCCCATTTTTCTTGATGGAGAGGAGGGAAAATTATTTCAGAGAGGAAATGAAGACATCTTCACAGTAAGTAATATATATTCCTTGTGTTGCTTTCTTGCATCCTGCCAGATTGCGTGACATTTCAAAATGTATCTGATGGCAGTTTTTTTATGGTACGCATGTCTGAAAACAAGCAACAGGACTTAAATGTAAAACTAAATTTAGTATCTCTCCCACTCACCTATCCAAAGCTGATTTGATTCAACATATTTCTTGTCTAAGAAGAACTGCTGGTTAATTTACATAATGCCCAAGAAAGTACAGGAAATAGAAGACAACAGATACTCATTTAGTTTTTAAATTTGAAATGGAGCTACAATATTAAAAATGAAATGAGGAAGTGAAGAATCAGGACATGGAGTAAATTTTTAACTTTTGTACTGGCCATGTATTTAAATAATGGCAATTTTTATACCTGTAATGAAGTCTGACTACCTGAAGCTGCTTCTGCTCCTAGGTACACAAGCAAACTTCTCCCCCAGCAGTCTTTTGTCATGATGCTGTAAGTGAGCCAGAATAGGTCTCTTATCAAAAGCTGCATAGTCTGAGTGTATATATGGTATTGCCAGTGAGTGTCTCTAGCAGGTGCCAGCTATAGGGCTGTGTAAGAAACAGGTGTTTCCATTGTTAGTATCCAGCATAAAAGGTCGCCTTTGGAGAAAAAGCATTTAATGGCAGCATTGATGAAGAGTTCACTTTTTCCACAATATCCTTTTAGCTGCTTGATATGTAGGAAATGCAGTTCTGTAGACCTCTTCAGCCTGATGGAGTTTCTCAGAAGAATCCATCACCTCGGATAATAAAAAAATCTCTTGATATAAAAATGAAAGGAGTGGATAAAATATGTAACCAGGTGTCTGACAGGTAAAAATACCCTCTTCACAACAGATGTTGGCTCTGTTCCCTGCTCCCATTATTGCAATTAATTTCACCTCTGATAATTTTTAAATGCAATGTATGGAGGCAGTCCCTGGCTTGCAACCAAGGGTTCCCCTTAGGTGAGTAGCCATAGCACTGAATACAATTAAGGAGTGCCTATTCTGAAATGTATAGAAAGAGAAAATCCTCTCTGCTTATGCTTTATGCTAGATCTCTCTTAACTTTGGTCTGTCCTTGTTTTTCTGTCTCTTCATTGTTTGTAACGCCAAGTTCAGTGAGGTTTGGGATACACGGAACTCAGTTCATATCCACCTCTACACTATAAATGAAAACACAAAATTGAATTCTACAGAAGGACAGCAAATCCAGCCTACATAATAATAATTTAATAAGATACAACAGGGAAGAAAGACACTCATGGTGTGTTTCCAGTTCCTTGAAGATAAGCTTTCTATTTCTACACTTAAGGTCATAACTAGTTGTTTGAATAACCTTCATACAAACTTGCTCCCTTAGCACCCTGTTATCTGTGCTGGACATATTCATCCAGCCTGCCCAAGAGCTAATCTTTCAAACACAGCTTTTTAAGTTAATTTAGTTGAAATTATTTTTAAAAGTGATTTCAAAGCTGAACACAACTGTGTACAAAATTGTGAGGCATCCCCCTCCTGGATGGGTAGGAAGAAGCTCAGATGTATGCGGGAAGTACTTAGGAGACAGAAAATGTTTTGTAGCAGGTCAGTGGTATAGGTGGTGAATTGAGCCAGGGTCAAGACATTTGCATACACTCATATATACAGTCTGTATTCTTTTCCCATTGAGGCCAATGTTCAGTGGGAACAAACTAGCTACAGCAGCATCCTGAAGTCACGGAAGTGGAATTGGCAGGCCAGTAGGTTTTTTGATGGCTGTCCTTTAAAAGAGCCAAGATTCTAATGATTATCTAGGGAAAAACAACTTGGAAACACTTGTTTAGATATCAGAATATTTCATTTCTCTAAAAAAAAGAATAGGTCACTTGAGAGTTACCAAATGAATTGCTGTTGCATGTCTTTTCCTTTTAACAAATGTTCTGTGCTTCTTTTGTTGTGTTTCTTTTGCAGGTTAATAGTAGAAACATAGGACATCTCTACAAAATGCGCATAGGGCATACAAATACCGGAAACTCCCCTGCCTGGCACTGCGAAGAGGTAAAAACAGGGAGAAAGAATTTTATCCTTCGAAAAGCAGTTACTATGACTGGAGTAAAAATATGAGTGAGAAAAAATCCTGGGATAAGTATATTAGCCTCATCAAACGCTTGCAGCTTCATTTAAAAGATTATTTATGACTGCAGTAATGTGGAAATTAAGGCACCTTATGTTGGTCTTGTCTTAGTTGCTGTTTAGTGAGAGAAATACATTATGTTTCCTTTAAAATGTGCGGCTGGACAGCAAGAAAAACTGCTAAAGTTGGCAGCTGTAGTCTGAGTCTTCTGGAGTCTTTGTATGCCACAGAGTGTCTAGTTTGCTGAAACCCAGTCATTTAACACAGTCAAGCCAAGTCCTCCTCAAATCTGTGATTGATGCTGTGTCCTTCTGCACAGCGCCAGAGCTACACTGCAAAAGTTTCTAGTTCTGTGTCTCTGAGGAGCAGAAGATAATAACAGGTTCTTTTCCCTCCTTAATTAAAAAATATTTTGATGCAGGTAAAGATAATAAACCAAAGTGAATGAGCTAGTTCTGTTTCAAGCTTCAGGTGTGAAACAGCATATTGGTTTCTGGACTGGGAATGAAAGAATCTGATGTTTATCCTTAACACTGGTGATGTACCTGCGTGTGCCAATGATAAGCTATGCATGGTTGAAATACATCCCTCTTTGTGCCACAGTTTCTTATCCTTCAGTTAAGATACAGCAGTTTACGAAGGGCTTTAGAAGCTGCTGGTAAACTCATTATAATTGTGTTTCAGGGTAATTCTATCTATTACAAAATGTCCACTGAAGTTAAATATTCATTGATCAAAGTTCAAACTCTGTCTATTTAAGGCTTCAACTAGTTGTATTCATTTGAGACTGAGACTCAGAAGGAGACTAAGTAATGCCTGGACAACGTTAACTGAAGTTTAGGCAAATTACCCTGAGTTCATACCTCCAGCCACTGCATGTCTACATTAAAATGTTGTGCCACTGGCAGTATCACTCTAAGAGGTTTCATGCTAGAATTGTAGGGTCATATCTCTTTCAATTCAGCTGAGGGTTGCCTGGTTTTAAAGCCTGGCTGTTTGTTTTCCACCAGTGATGTGCTTTGGGGAATGCTGGAGTCAGAATATCATTTAAGATACTTCTTTCTTCTGTCCCGTGCTACTTTTCTTTTCATAAATATGTGTGTGTAAGCAGTGAAAGGGTGGAAAATACCTCATAGTTTTGTCTACTGAGGGACAGGTTACCAGCAATTTCTAAAGCATACCTGAGTTGAGAAGCTAGAAGAGAACAGTGGGTTTTCTCTTGTAGAAAAGGTTCATTTGTACGCTTAATGTTGGTACTAGAACTTTTGATTATCATAAAATCTTACTCAACAAGTGGATCTTTGTGGGTTTGTTGTATATCATCCTCTAGGAATAGAGGCTGCACTGCCAGCTTTGTACAAGATACCCATTTAAACTGAAAGAGATCTGACAAAAAAAGATTCTATTAATTGAAATCAACAGTAACATTTTAAAAGAAGGATTTAACACTTTAACACAAGTGTGTTCCATTGATTATTGGCTTATGAATTTTAATTGTCTCCTTACAAAATAACAGTCAGTCAGAGAAAGGTTTTAGGGAGTGATTCATCAACCAGGGTTAGTTCATTCCGCTTTCCAACTTTGGACAAAGTCAAAGAATAGAAATATGTTTAACCAAAAACACTCTACAAGTAACCTAGCTTTTTGCTTGGAAGAAGACCAAAGGAGTAATACCACTGATATCTAGACTTCATAGATAAGAAAAAACCTACAGCTGTCTTTTCTGAAACATCATTGTTCCTTGGAAAACCTAAATTTTTCCGGAAGATCTGAAATTAAGGAAGTGTGCTCTACAACTGCAGAGCTCTTCTGGTAGTTAGCCATGCTAGTCTTCCACCAGTGTCCCATGGCTTCTGTGTCTGTTTCTGTACAGAGAGGGTATTGGGCCTGAAAATGTCCATAAAAATGCTGCTTTGTTAGTCGAAGTTCCCTTTTCAATATCTATTAGTAGATGTTAACAGGCCAAGATGTGCCAGGATTTTCAGACAAGATGAATCTCTTTATATAAACTTTAGTATTCAAGCAGTAAGAGAGAAAAATGTTTCTGGTAATTCTAATTTTTTTCAATATTTTAATTTAGGATACTAGATTCTGCAAAGCACAGAGCAGGACTGAAACTACAGGTAGAAGTGTCTTTGCTTCTCTCTGCTGGTTGAAAATCTCATGTAGCTACTAGTATAAGTTAGCATGATCAGGGATTATTCTAGTATACGGCAGCTTCTGAAATGCTTGCTAAGGAATGCTTCGAAGTATGAAATAACTAGACCTCCTTCCCTTCTTCAGCTGGTGTGCATATGGTCCTTTTGCTGCTACATGCTAGAAGTTGAGCATGGAAAAAAACTGTGGGGAAGACAGGTGTTGGAGCTAGCATATTAATGGTTATTTTGTCACAAGTAGTGCTGAACAATCAAAACCTGTTCTTTTAATTCTTTTTTTTTTTGATAAGAAAATAAGTTAAAGGAATAGAACTGCAAATGTTGCCAAGCTTCCCAGTGAGAACTTTCGTATTTGGTAAGCCATGCCACCTAGTGCCCATGCACGTGGATATACCAGCTGGAGCAACATAGCTGTATTTTGTGGTACTGCATCCGAGCTGATAAACCCTGTTTCTTGTCTGCACTTGAGTTGCTCTGCTCTGCACTTTCAAATCTGACTGAGTGAAAAGTCAGATTTAGGGGCAGCTGTATCCAGGGAGCAAACATGCCCCAACCCCATGATTTTGTGAGTTCTACCTGCACAGTTTCAACAGTAGCTCAGAAGTGTCATGTTCTGTTCTATCTGGAATGAGATCAGCAACTTAAATTGTTACTCTTGGTGTTGTTTAGGTGCAGTTGTTGAACCTTTTCTCAGGGGAGCAGTTTTCTTTCCCTGCACATCGATGGCTGGCTGATGGGGAAATATCTATGGAGCTTCCTGTTTTACAGCAGGGCCAGCCTATTCTTCCAGGTAAGCACAATACTGCATTAGTCAAGTCATGACACAGACTGATGCCAGTAGAGGTGAGTTAACTGTATTACTTTTTGGCTGCTACAATGCTTTTTCGGTGTTGTTTTCTATGGCTACTGGGCATACCTAGGTAAAAGGTTAAGAATCACTGGAAAGGAGATGGGAGAGTCTTTAATGCCTTGATTTTCGCAGGTCCTTCAAAAAAGACTCCTCTTTTGGTAAGATTTTAAGAATTTGTGTTTGCTTTAAAATTGAGGCAATAGTAAGGACACCTCACATATGCATAACTACCGTGAAGTTATCATACATGAGTCAGATCACAAACTCTATTTCCAATAGCTGAGGATTATAGCTCTGGTATGACTATTGTAGCTGCTATTTCAGTTTCTTTCTTTTAAGCGGCTAAGACAGGCTTCTAGAATACTTTTAATTTCTGGGTGTGGAACAAAACTTTAACAATATTCCAGAAGGCTCAACTTGATAAAAGAAGCTCCATTAGTCACATAAATATTGTATTATAATTTTAAGGTGAATGATGTCAAATTATAAAAATAATATTGGGTGTTGCTGCTGTTATACTGTTTTAATGTCGGGCTCTATCACACCAGTCCCTGTGCACCATGCTGGGTGCTGTCACTATATGGTCTCTCTGCTTCAGCAATGGGAAAGGGGTGGAATCATCCCTTCTGTCCAAATGACATTGTTCTTTTCTGGCCTAAGGAACTACAAGGGTATAGCAAGATTAGTTTATCCTGGGTGGGGGAGCAAGAATGCCGAAGCAGATTCCCATCCTGTAGGGTATGACAATAGAAGGCGAAAACTCATAACACCATCATTATTACTTGTGCTGGAGCTTTCACTAGAGTGAGATCCACCTGGGACAGATTCCACAGACTACTCTCTTCCCTACCCCAAACAACCGTATCAGCTGCAGAGGACAAGATTAATGGGATGAGAGAAACTTCCATTCAAAACCTCTTTTCCAGAATGTTTGATACTATAGCAGTGCTTGGTGGTATGCTCATGGTACTTTGTATTGATTCTGCAAAACTGAAATGCTAAGAGGTATTTCAATGGTAACAGCTCTTGTGGGTGCAGAGGAAAAGGATATAGATGAAATTGAGGGGCAGAAGTCTAGGAAATGGCCCATGGATGTGGGGAAACACACCATGCAACAGTCAGTCTTGTAATAAAGAGCTGGGTGGCCTGGAGCTGTGTTTATCCTTGTATAGGATGACTGAGCACTGAGATTAAGAACCTGAAAAGGAGAGCAGAAAAACAGGTTTGTGCTTCATTAATATGTCTTTAAGAGAAAAAGAATAGCAGGAGAGATTTCCTCCAGTGGTGTAGTTAGCAGCTGTAAATGGCTCATAAGATGCCATAGAGAGAGGCTGACCCGCCCTAACTACAATGATTTTTGATCTTGAGTGGTTATCATCTTTATGCCCTTGAGGGTAGGAAAACTCTCAGGCAGTCAAGCCTGCTTCCTGAGAGGTTTGGTCTCTTTGGTTAGGAGACATTAATATTATTAGCTTAGGGGGTCATACAAGCGCAATGGTATAAAACCCAACCTCTCCTCCCATAAATAAGTGTTAATTAATGATAATTAACATGTTATATTGAATATTCTCAATTCTCCTACTTGCAGTATCTTTTCTTCCCCAATGTTATTTTGCTTAATATTTTGGGACGCTGACCTTACCCACCTTCTAATTTTCAGGCTCTTCGGAGTCGGTTGTTTTCCTATTTTTGAGATAAAGATATAATGAAAGGTTTTTATTATCAAGCAATCTTGGTGCATTGGAAAGGGCAACAGCACGTTTAAACCATCCTCTCAATCTGCATTTTGTAGTTAACAATTTCTCCTGAGCCCAATAGAGAAAGAAAAGAACTTCTGTGCATTTCTGTCAGCCTCAGTATAAGAGGGGTCATGCTGAAGGCTTTGGAGAAAGCAGTTTCATCTATAACTTAGTAATTGAAAGCCTCTGTGTCTTTTCGCCAATATTATATTTCTGCATGAGACAGTGAAAAGAGAACATAGCTTTTAACTTCAGAGAAGATAGTTTGATAACAGAACAGTGAAGAGGTCTGGATTCAATCTGAGAGAGAGATGATGAGAGGCACTTTAAAACCAATTTCTGAATAAAAAGAGGCTGAAACACTTTCTGATTTAACAGCCTTTTTATTCAAAGCAAAAACGTCTGAATTAAACTGTTAAGAAGTATTACATAGAGACTTTGTAGCTGTAATGCTGAGGGACTGAGCAGCACCATTCATTTGACTTTTTATCCTCAACTATCCTACTTTTGTCCCCTTCTGTTCATTTTTTATAACACAATCTTTAATTATATGCTGGGGATAAATCAGGGTTGTACAGTGTTTGGTGGCTTATGGACCTTTGCTTTTCTTCTTGCAGAAACTGAAAAGTAGATAGTTAATGAAAGAGGAAATTGTAGGAATAGAGGATTGTTGTGGCCTTAGACATGGGATTGTTGATCTGGAGAAATGAATTCTCTGCCTCTGCCATGATCTGTTCTGCAAATAAAAATATGAGGAAGTAAACAGATAAGGTGGTGACATGGTAAATGATGTGGGTAAAATGCAGTATTATTTAACAGTTGCTAACTGGAAACTATTTTTAGTATTGAGACAGGTGTACTTTGGGAAAAAATAGTACATGACTATGCTGCTAACTAAAGATTGTGAAAAGCTTCAGAGCCTTAAATGTAGCTGGCTTTTGTCCAAGTAATAATAGCTGAACATATGTTTATGAAAAAACATATGTGTTTTACCCCCTTGTTCTGTCTCTCATAATTTTTCCCCTGTGCCTATGAATTAAATTTTGTAAATAAACTTAACCCTTACACTTTCTGATTTCAGAATGATGTGTTTAAAAATGTAATGTCCTACACTTATAGACAAAAATAAATGAAAATAAGAGTTCCTTCTCTTAATCTCTGTTCTGCACACTTTTCCATTGAATATCTGAAAGAAAGAAGCATAGAATATCTCAAGCTGAAAGGGACCCATAAGGATCATCACGTCCAACTCCCTGGTCCTCGCAGATTGCCTAAAACTGAACCATATGACTAAGAGTGTCATCCAGGCACTCCTTGAACTCTGACAGGCTTGGTGCCATGAGCATTTCCCTGGGGAGCTTGTTCCTGTGACTGACCAACCAGTGAACGACCTTTTCCTAATCTCCAATCTGAACTTTCCCTGATGCAGCTTTATTTCATTAGGAGAGTCACTATTCCCTAGGATAAAAGCTGTAAGCGTTATAAATACTCATAAATACTTATTGTAAAACGGGGATGATCCCTAGGTTTATGAGAGGTAAAAAAAGTCTTATTTTTTTAAGATAGCTATTTTAAGTCTCTATTCTGGATTTATTAATAGCATATGTCTACCATACAGTACTTCAGTGGAGTTTAGAGGTAGCCAGTCATCATCTCAAAATGAGTTAGCTCCGATGCTAGAACCAAACTAGCATTCCATGTTGGCACATTGCAATAACCTTTGCAGAGTGCTTATAGTTTTAGCTATATTGCTACCATTATCCGAACCGAATTGTTTAAAGAAAGCTTGTGTACTAATGTGCACATAAAGGCCATGTAAATAAATGTGAGATAGTCATAAAAAAAAACATCAACGGAAAAGCTGTTTGTTAACGCTGACAGGCCACTGAACACAATTGCAGATATAGACTGACTGAGAATAAATTTTCAATAGTTGTTAAAAGAAGGTGTTTGTCCATCAGAAGAGTGAGATGTGGGCCCAAACTCCTTCAGAGGATTACGATCAGGCTTCATAATGTAGTTATGTAAGTTTTTATATAACTGATAATTGAATAATGATAATGTGGATGTTCTTCTGGGCATGATGGTCCAAAAACTCTTTTCTAGTTGCAAGACAGAGAAGCCAAGGGATGCCTACATCTGGAGGAAGAGCTCGTGTGCCAGAAAATGAAATTTTCTCTCCCCCTCTCATTCTCTGAACCCCACTTGATCTAACAAAATAGTTGACACGTTGGTGTCAACTTTGCCTTTCCCATGTTTCTACTGAAGATTATATTTGCATTTTTAATCTTAATTCTGAATTTTATGGGGTTTTACATCTGCATTTTAATGACCACATTTTTCTATTGATACATGTTTTTATGCATCTTAGTCTTTACTCCAGTTTCATTAGATTTTGAATTTATAAGTATTTGCATTATCCATTTCTATTAAACAACCAATTTATTGAATTTAAATTCTAGGAGTTTTCTCTCAAATTTACATCCTTTAAATAACTTCCAATGGAATGTAACAGAGGAAGTTTGTACTATTCTAAAGGATGAATTGCTAAAATAATAAAACAATGCAGCTTTCTTAGTTCTTAGGTCCCAGAAAACTAATTTTTTTGCTTGTTTTGGTAACCAGTACATTCAAAATGCTTCAGTTGCTTGTTATAGCTTTGATCTCACCATTTATGCTGAGACTAAACTTGGATTTATGTTATTTACTTTTTAGCTTTCTGATGATTTCAAGAGATGTTGCAGGACAAAGACATACTATTGTGCATTTAAGGTTTAGTTCTCTTTGCATTCCCCACAGTGACAGTCTGGGACAAAAAACATAGATGTAACACCAGAGCAACTTTGTATGTTATTTTACTATTGAATAGGATTTTAAGGTTTTATACTGTAACTGTCCTAGACACAGATGTATATGGACTCTACAGGCACATTCACAGCTAGACGTTACTGTAACTGCAGCAGGGTTTGTGATATGAAAGGCTGTCATCTTTTATTGGCAGTGACTCTCTATGAAGTGCATGTGACAACAGGAGAACTGTGGAATGCTGGAACTGAGGCTGATGTTTATATTTCTGTTTATGGAGAAAGAGGTGATACAGGATCGAGACAGCTGCTCAGGTCACAGAAATCCAAGACATTTCTAAAAGGACAAGTAAGTGAAAAAGCATTTTCTGATGTGTTTGACTGGCTTGTCTTTCCCAGGTTATCCCTGAGATGATTTATCCCTGAGATGATCTGGTTATCCCTGAGATGCACCTGGTTGTCCCAGGCAAGGTGCAATTAGAAAACAGATAATTACTGCATTCTGATGTTTCTCAAATGCCGTAATTAAGCCAAAAATACTTTCTAAAGGTATACCATTGCTTTTGGAAGTCAGAATTTTAATTTATAAAATAGGTAAGCTGTATACTTTTGCTTTTAATTCTTCTAAAAAATTGACTTGATAAGTAAAAAGAAAATGAAACTTTACATTTTATATCTGCATTTCTAACGTTGAAATCTGTTCTAATATGTAATTATTTAGCCAATTGAGCTTTCAGAAGGTTTCTCCTCTGACTGACCCCATTCATCTCAAAGGAACTACTCCCATCAGCAAAGTGATCAGGTTTATTTACTTCTTTTATTTCAGGAAATCTGTCTTTCTTGGTTGGTTCTTTCCTTTTTATTGTCTGGTATTTTAGAGGATGATACTGACAGAAGAGTTTTATGGGTTTATGGGTCTTTGGGATTCCCTGGCTGAAGAATGCTCTGCTTTTTAGATTTTACTGAGATTTCCTTGATTGATTACAGACTGACATCTTTGCTGTGGAAGCTGTGCACCTTGGACATTTGTACAAGATTGTTATAGGACACAATGGTCTTGGATCAGGTCAGAAACCTATATAGTCACTGAATACTGCCTGCAGTCATTAACCTTTTTCTTGAAATACAATATTTATTTCTAAACCTGAATGTATGAGAACATTCTAGAAGTGAAAGACAAAGGCTTCTAAGGAAACTGTTCAAGTGACACAGATACCTTATTGTATTATCATAAATTTCAAATGTTTTGTGTTCACTTTCCCTATACTCTCAACCATTATGTTAAGGACACCATCTTCTACTACTATGTCATTTTTTACTAATCCCCATGGAAAAACTGCAAAGGTGGGAGTGTCTGCATGATAAGACATTAAATATGCAGTCACATATGCATTGAATTGTTTGCAGTCACAAGGCCTGTTTTTCATACTCTTGAGCCTAAATATTATAAAACATAGCAACTTATTTTGAGCCATAATAAGCTGCTATCTAATCTTCTTGACATTTTGATTGGCAAAACAAGCCTCATACAATGACTAAGTGAGGGGGGGAGGAAGGGCAGCAATCAGGGCCATGACAGCCAGGGAGGCACCTAGGAACTTGCACGCCCATGAGCAAGCTCTGCAGTACCTAGAGCAGGTACTATCTTCTCTCCATCCGTCAGGACAGTGGTGACTGTGGCAAACTGGAGCAGGAGTTTCAGAGTTTGCAGTTCCAATAGAAAAGAAAAAGCAATGGGAAGTCAGACCTCATTAAATCTGTCTCTCATAAAATAACATTTTTTTTTGTGTGTGTAATTTAAGGAAATGGCTGGTTTCTGGACAAAGTTGTAATTAAGGATCCTACAACAGATTTGGATTATACTTTCCTTTGTCACAGGTTGGTGGTGTTTTTTTTGGGTTAGATTTTTAATAAATTTGTAATTACTCATGGTTTTTCTTCTGAAATGTCCTGTCAAAGGAAATATGTGTTTCCTAAAAAATGAGATGAAATGGGTCCACTACTTTTTACAGCTGAGTTGTACCTGTCCCAAACCTCTGGTGCGTTTGATCTAATGAAAAAGTAATAAAAAGCTCTGCCTGGAACTTTCCATTCTTGCAGCTTGCGAACTATTCAAAATGTGTTTTTTTGACGCATTCCCCATATGCAGCACCTTGGATCTGACATCCGCAGGTACATCCATTCTTCCATGTCATGTGATGCAAGGCGTTTCAGAAGAGTGGGTTGCTGTTTCACTAGCAGACTGATCCTACTTCACTGAATTTAGTGTGGAGATTAACTTGGGGTTCAATGAGCTCAGGACCAGACTTTAAGATCTTGTGGAACGGCTATTGCAAGCACAGCTACCTGAGCGCATCTCTTTTTCTCATTTGCCTTGCAGCCTGTCACTGAGCTGCAATGAAATATGAAGCAATCTTAACTTCCCTGCCTTTTCCCATGCAGATGCTGCTGCTGTGTATCTTCTCTGTTCTGTAGCTCATTTCTGATTTTATCTACTCCCGATTAATTCTCAACACCTTGTGAAAAAATTATATTTGATAAAGATCAGTGCAAATATTAAGAATCTCAAAGTCCAGTCACGTTTGAATCTAGCTGCAGCTTGCAGTGGCACCCCAGTTCTATTTCCTCCTCGCACTTTTCTGAGTGAATAAATAACTGCCCAAGACAGCTCAGAGTGAGCAATGTGTACACTGAAACTGATTTATGTGTGAGTAAGGGCTTTCTGCCTATCAGACACAGCACCTCATCTTTGCCTGACCTAATTTTGATTCTGTATTCTAGATGAGATGAACTGCTATGAAGAGATCTATAATGCTAGCTTCATACATAATTTAGGGAGAGTTCAAATCCATTTCAGGCAGAAAAATACAGGATATACACTAGTTATTGTTAGAGCTTGCTGATCTTGCTCTCGCAGTGTGTTAATCCTTTTGAGTCAAATGGAGTTAACTTACATAAGTGTATGTGAAGCAAGTACAATGATGTTGTAAAAGTATAGTTCAGACATGGTAAAAGTGTTGCCAATGTTGGATTTGTCTCCCTGTATAAGGATTTTCAGGGCATGGGACAATTTGCATCCTGCTGTAGCCTTCTTGCAGACAGGAAGAACAATCAAGACCACTGCACCTTTTATTATTGATATGGGATCAATATGAGCTCTCTGATTTGTAATAATTGGTTTAGGCCCTTGTACCTCCATCCAGAAAGTTTCATCAAGAAGAAATAAAAACAAAAACATTTTTGCCAAAAGCTGGATTTTTTGTGTTGCTGTTTGTCAGCCTTGGAACTTTAATAGATAGAACAGGAAGTATCAGCATGCAAGTGCCATATATACAGTATTCTGGGAGTTGCCAATCAAGGTTATATTACAGAAATGGGTTCTGGTTTTTAGGTGGCTGGACCAGGGGCAGGATGATGGCAGTATTGCTAGAGAACTGATTGTGACAGATGACAGCACATTTCCAGGAAGTAAGTGAAAATTGCTGGGAAAGAGGACCAAGCCTCACTGCAAGAGTGTCAAATGGGATGAGGATGCTCTGTAAATTAATTACATGTTTTTTATCTATACAGGACAAGAGCTGGAACTCAAGATAGAAGAAACTGTAAGAATATACCTTTTTATTTTTTATTTAAACCATTCAAATTATGCTTTGCATGAAATCAGGTCAGTTGTTATGTATGTCAAATTCCTGTGTATTATTTTCTTATAAGTCTTTTCTGCTTGTTTACAAAACTAGTGGGCTGCCGAAAAGTGGAAATTTCAGAGAGGCAATACACTTCAGTTTTACAACAGGCTCACCCGTGGCTTCATTTGCCTCAGTCCGGATAGCAGAGTTGATGCTCTTGGTGACAAGAAAAACAAATATGGTAAAGTACTTTTCAAGTGGATGCATGCATAAAAGATACAGGAAAGGAGGAATTTGTAGTTCACTGTGATCTCCAGTAGTGACTCTTGTAATAAATAAGACTAGATAATACAATAAACATTTTCTTTACTTAAAATATTTACATGTATTAATGGCTATAAGAACTCAGAAATTATATGCTTGGCTTACATATAAAGCACATCAAATATCACATATGTTATGTTATCACTGGCTTTCCCTTACCAAAGAGAAACTTCTTGTCATCTGCAGTTTAGTGCTCCCATGGAACTGCCATGGCAAGGACAGCTACAGTCCTTTGTAACTAAATATATCTAAGCTAGCAAGTTGAAATTTCCACGTATAGTTCACTAGTAGGGAGTATATATATACATATATATATGTGTGTGTGTATATATATATATACACGCATAAATTCATTTAGTTCCATCCTTGTCATTGGTTTTAATGTTTCTCCTCTTTACCAGCTTCCATCCTACTGTGTTACTAACACTTAACTATAATATATATCATATTAGGCACACATATTTTTGTTATCTTTGTAGAGACGGAATGGGTCAGATTTTTTGACATCTTGTCAGGGACCTTACCTACTTCTTTTTGGAAGTGACAGAACAGAATTTTTTGGGACACACCAGGGTGTATAATAAATACTCCTTAAATAGCCTATAAAATCACCTAGAAAAGCTGCACCAGAAAACTCAAATGTCTAATATGGGAGATCAGTAATATTACAATCACTGAAAGTGGGCGTTAATCTATTTTACTAAAGCTCTTCTTACTAGCTAGCAGTATTGGTGCTTGAGTTCAAAGCATTTGATGACTCAAATAGCAAATAACTCAAATCTTCTATCTGTGGCTTTAGGGTCTGCAAGTGTTTCAAATGCCTGAAAGCAGTTGCACAGCATGATAGTGTCCTTCCTCCAAAGAGATCCATTTAGAATCATAAACTGGGGACAGAACAAACTACCTGCTTGTAGGAGTTTGGTCTCTAATTTGTACTGATGCAGCAAGCACATATTTGCTGCTCTTAAATGATGTGTCTTCAATTGATGGATTGTATCTGATTTGATTAAGGCAAATTAGATCATTTAGACATCACAGAGCTCATAATCTTCTAATATACAGAATTCAACTTCACACTGCAGAATTTTTAATGATTTTCATCTAGACGCACTGTCCTTTCTATAAATTAATGCATTTCAAGTGGTATTTTTCAGACACAAATATGACATCTTTATTGCATTCTGTACCTTTTTGGTATGTTTTTACATGTTAGATGTGAAATTCATGAATGTTATCTCCACAATATTTAATTAATAATATGTACAATTGTTTAAGTGTAAAATGTGATGCATGACTAATAAATATCAGTAAAGATGATAAATATAATTAAATATATTAGAAAGTTAAAGACAAAATTGGTATAAACTGACTGTTAATAAATTTAATTGGAAGCCATAAAAATTAGTAGTGTGATCTGCGACCTCCCAAAGATTTAGGAATAATTAGGAATTAAACTGGTAATCAAAAAGAGCTTTATTTTTCTGAACAAGCTGCTCTTATAACAGAGTTAGAGATACAGGAATAACAATGCATTCTTTTTTTACAGATCAGAGTGAAAAGCAAACACAAGTACAAAATGAATGCAGACACCTATCATCCAACTCTTGTGCCTTCAGAACAACATCTTTCTCTCTTTTGTCAGATTTATTTTAGTTATTTGTGGAGTAATTTACAAAGTCTGTAGAATAGTCAACGTGCAACAGAAGTTCACAAGCACTGACTTGGGAAGGTTGTTTAAATTTTCATTTAGGGGCTCTGCTTCCTTGTGTATGCTTTGGAATAAAGTCCTCTGACATAAATTATCCACCTATCTTTCTGAATACAAAACTCTGCATTTCAGATAACAGATCTAAAGCAACGTAACTCAAAGGCCTTCAAAGTGGTAATGGCAACTTATACCAGATGATGATTTGGTCTAGGGTGTTTTAATTTCTCAGGAAGCTTTATCTCTCTCTGAAAGCAGATACCCATTGTTACAGTTATGTGTCCTTCCTATCTTGTGCAAGGGACTGGAAGCCCCATCTGTATTTTATTATTTGTGGCATTATCCCAATGGACACAATGATCCTTGGCTGCATGATTCTTATGTTCCCAGTGACACTCTGAAAATCTTACATTATGGACTCCTTCAGGAGCAGCTGCAACTTACAAATAGGCAACATAATGTACTGGTAGAACAGTTTAAAAATACGAGGTGTTGCTGCAGGGAGCAATAAAAATGGCGCTACTTTAGTTTTCATCAGAATTTTGTAGCTGTAAGAGGTAATTGTTTGGAAAATTGACCAGATTTAGAATTTTAGAAGCCATGAGCTATGCTGAAAGATTTGCTTTACAAATTCTGATATGGATATAGAGAAAATAAATTCCCTTTTCCTACCTGAGAGCTTTACGTTCCCTACATCATCTGTTATTTATTATGTAAATTTGTTGCAAAAGCCCAATTCATTATGCCAGAGTCCTCGGCTCCTTTTTATGGATTTTTTTAAGCATATACACCAATAAACCAAAATTGTGTCTTATTATTAGCTCTCAGGGTTTTTCTCCTCAAGGCAGTGAAGCATACAGTAGTCTCTGGATGTCCTTTCCTGAAGGAATGAGAGGATTCTTTGATCTATTGAGTTAAGCAATTCAGTTATTCTTTTCCCTTGAAAATGATAAATCATCAATTGTAATTAAATGCAAATATGAATTAAAATACTTTCATAATGCTATCATCTTTTTCATTTAATTCTTAGGCATTTTTGATGTAAATGTCAAAAGGAGAAATATATGTATATTCAGCAGTCATCAGATTCCACGTCTTGCTCTTGCTCTTGTCAATGGCCATGTAATCGGAAAGGTAGGAAATGCTGTTACTGATTTCTGCTTCATAATTACATGCCATTGCCTGATTCAAATAATAAATAATTGCGTTTCCAATCAGATAAAGAATTAAGAATTGCAGAACTGAACCCACGATATTGCCAATGAACAGGTGAATTTAGATACAGGGCTTTGTTTTCTTTCAGTTTACTTTTTATTCTCTGCTAAGATTTTTCAATAGAATAAGTTATTTGACGCAGGAATAGCAGGCCATTCCAAGCTGTAATTTATATCAGCTTGCCACATGCTGACAAGGTACCTGCAATGCCCTATTATCTCTCCTCTTTTTTTTCTTTCTTTTTTTTTTTTTAATACGTGTAAATTCTAAAGATTGATTTTTAAACGTCCTTTTTTCCTTTATGTCTTTTTCTAAGTAACATGCCTGTCATAAGCCAACTAATATACACCACATTTGGTTAGACCCACTTTGATTTGTTTCCTCCCATCTTCAAAGTCTTACTATGGCCTTTCTTTCTCAGCACTTGCAGTATACAAGTAGGCAAGTTGAGTTATAGAAGTTAGTTCTTTATAAAACTCATGGTGAGCAAAGAAGCTGTTTCCCTTTCACATTTTCAAGTTCTTCTTCCCCTTATTTATCCAGTTAATAATTTCATACACAGAGCTGGTCCCACTCCTCTTTCACATCATGTGCATTAACATGGGTGAGTATAGAATATTCCCAGTAGAGTTAGTAGGTTTTTCAGTGGGGCTAGTGTCAGGCTGTCATGCAAACTGTGAGACCTCCTTGCAGGACTTTCTGATGCTCATGTTCATTAGTGTAATTCTGATACAGAGAATCCCTTGCAGTCTGTCACATTGCAGTATATTTCATTGTATTTATTGGGTACTTAAATTTGAACTTTCTCTTTCCTGCTTTGCTACTGACATGCTTTATGATTTTGAGCAACCTATGGAAAATCTGGATTTCAATTTTATTATTTTTAGTTGTGTAAGATGTTCCTTTTCCCATGGATTGTAAAAAAATGTTGTCATTTAAAACTAGCCGAGGTCCTTGGAATGAAAATAAGTAAATGTAAAGCAAAAAGGCAACACAAAATTTACAAATTTTTTATGGTACATACCTAATTATACTCTGAGGACATATTGGCTCACTCTTTTCACAAGCTCTTCAGAAATCCATACATTTCTTCCTTTACTTTTGAAGGTATACTGAATCTGATAGACAAGTTTTTTTGAGTATGAGGCTTTTTCTTTAGAAAGTGCCATGGAAATGAAAATTTTCCCTAGAAATACTGATTCTTTGAAGTCTTAAAAGTGCTGAAAAAATGTTAGATGATGTAAGCTAGAAATCTTTTAAGTTATTGGGATGATTGTTAGCATTTTACATTCATTAAAAACCTAGTTTTATTTAAAAATGAGAATGTTGATGGAGTTGATAAAATACTTAATTATGTGTTTTGTATACTGTGTCTTTTATACAAGGGAATCACAGAGTATTCAAACCTGAACGGGCAAACATGGATAGCAAATTTCTTTACTTTTTCACATAAAACTTATGTCTCCCTGGGTGTTTAACAGTATAAAAAAATGAGGATAAACACAGAGGCAAAAGGAGGGGGGCTGGTGGCAGAGAGTTCCTGTAGTTCATTTTCTGTTTATGTCAGTTTTATACTTCATATATGTAGGCTGCAACACTAAAACAATCTCCAACTGAGGCACCCAGGTATCTTTCATGTTATCTTCAGATCTCTGTGAATTTAAGATGAACCTTTCCTCTGAGATTCCAGAGAGTCCACAATTTTAGGACTTAAGCATTAGGACTTCAAATCTGAAAAATATAAAGATGTTTTTATACTTGACTGTCAGTATTGTGGAAACCCAAAAATTCAGAACCTATATTGTGATACTCTGTTTTGGATCTTGCCATATAGTTCATATAACTTATTAGTTCCACTTTGGCTATGCTAGAGCAAAGACAAAGCATGCTGTGAGCTCTGTGTTCACCTTCAACCGAATGGTTGTGCTATTCTTGAGTCAGCCAGGAACCCAGGGCACACCATCACTTTCAATCTTCACGGCAAAGTACCTGACGAAACGACAGGATATGCTGGACTTTCCAAAGAATTTGTTGTGCATGTCAAGGTAAGATGGGCAGAGACAAATTACAGAGGCCCTTCTAAAGCTTACTGTTATAAAGAAGATTTCTTATCAAATGTCAGGGGATTGCAAGCTATAAGAGTGATCCTTTTCCACCAGGTGGAGCTAAACTACAGTTTAACAAGTAGGTGGCACTAGCCAAATTTCCCTTTCCTGCCCTCCTGGGACGAGAGATGCCAATACTGCAGGTGGTATACCAACTGGGGTGGGCTATAACGCAGACGAGATGTGTGTCTCAGCTTTGTAGTAAAGCCTGGAAAAGTAGGACGGTAGGTACCTACAGGAGAGCTGCATGGGAAATTACCCAAAAAGAGGAAAAAGAGATAAGCTCCTTAATTTGACCATGTGCTCTGGATGTTGTACTTGCGCTGCTGAACAACAAAAAGTAGGGAAGATTTTCCACTTTTTAGGTTGATGTCTGCACAGAAAGCAGAAAATATTTAAAGACTGAAGACATTCTTGGTTTACTTGGGACTCACTATGTTTTATGCATGAATAAGTGCTTGAAATAAAACAGTGTGAGCACTATCAATATCAAAGTTTAATATGGAGAAAAACTGTGCTATTGAAGAAGGACTTCTTGTCTCTGATCTGCAGGGTGTGTTTCACCATGGTGCCATCATTCTGCTTAAGACAAGCCTCTGTCAGGCTCTGTCGCTTAGACCTGATGGGAGCTGCAGTGGAGCAGGTCCGCAGCAGCCAGAATCCTACTGGAAGGTGCATAAAATTGGCTCTGGACTCTGCATGTTTGAAAGTGTGAGAAACCCAAGGATGTATCTGAAGATCAAAGATGACCAGTGTAATGGAACAGTAAGCATTTCTTGTTTATATTTCTCTGTGGAGACAGTTTGAGTAAATTGTCAGTGATAGGAGAGAATGTTTTTTACTTGCTTGGATAAAAATTGGAAAAAACAGTTCAGATTTAGAAATTTTCAGATCTTTTACTTCATTTGCGCAAGGAAAGATAGAAAGATACAGCGAGAGATGCTGTCATGTCTACTTGACACTTGACTGTAAAGATCAGATTAGATGTTTACTCAGAACGTGGATGTAGTTAAAATTCATGTGTTGTGAGAGAGTTGATGACTCTGTCAAGACTCTGTTCTGTTAATTTGATTTTTGTTAAACAACCACAGTTAGGCTGGTGTGAATTTGGAAATTGTTGCAGCAATGTTGGTGTCCCAGCTTTTACAAATGATTGTTTTGCCTGAAATGAAGAAGCTGTTTTGTTTTGTTTTAAAATTCATCAGGCAACCACATACAGTTTATTCTTCAAATACCTCACCAGTAGTTTGCATATTTAGTAATAACTAAACTCAGCTTGGTGGATGGTTGAAATATTCTGATTTTGGGACTCATTCTCTATCTGCTAGGAGTTTAACTGTTGCAGATTTACATTTGAGAGCAAAAAGGAGAGTGAGGCATCAGTATTTGCTCATTAGACTCAATGTTTACTAATCCCATAACTGTTTGCTGATATGAACTGATATAATAGTTTTGAATATGTGAGAACACAAACATAGGGGGTTAAAGTGGTATTGAATCTAAATAAATTGATGATAACCTCCACTAAAGAGTCATTAAGAGGTAAGCAACTGGGTATTGCACTGACTTGCAGTTTGAGTCTGTTCATCCAAGTTAAAATATCTCACATAATTTTTATTTGGGATTTTCAACATGAGTATGGAATAGAGCTGTGTAAGAACTCAGATGTGAGGTCCATGAGAGCTTTGTCATTGACTCCAATATAGCTTGATCAGAGATTAAGATATTTGTACCATATTTGAATATAGGCTTAATTTTTCAGCAGTGCCTTCACTAGGACGTCTGGATTGAAAGGAGTATTTAATGTACAACTTGCATGTTCTTCTTTAGCAGTTAGTGTATTTTGAGGTTAAAAGTGTAATATGAGAGTGAGTGCTCTTCTCTGAACATGTTATACTAGGATTTTTATAGTCTGTATTTGGTACTGGCCAGAAGGATATTCTGAAAACTAGGTAGGCTTTGATGTCTCAGCCATATTACTGTGGCTGCTACATTTGTGTGTGGTCCTGTGTGCTTTAAAACCAACCGACATGCTAATTTGTTGCTATTAAAAGGTGGCATGGTGTAGAGGTCTATTGAGGCTTTGATTGTGTAAAGGCTTTGAGATTAATCTTGTAAGTGCCATGAAATGGAGGAAAAAAAGTTAAGAGTTGCAGTTCATGAAAAGAACAAAAGCATATTTAATAGATGTTACATGGGTAGCATTAGCAAATTGTGCTATGTACCAATTTGTATATAAATATACTCGGATTTCCAAATTAGGTATTTTCACATTCCCTAATCATCTGAAAGTTGTTTAAGTGGGGTAATCCTTTGAATATATCTTAGACTTTGCCTAAATCCTAACATAAATTAATGTTTTCATATGTGGTCTTTCACTCACTCAAATTATGTGATCAATCTTTCTGGTCACAAAGGAATAAACAGGAATATGGTGCAGGTATGTCTTTGTGTGTGTATTAGTGCAGCATGTTGTGAAGAACCTAAAATTAATCTGAAATGTTATTAGAATGTAGTAATATTTAATTCCTAAAAAAAATCCAACTTGCCTTGCTCCATCAGTTCAGTTGTTAAATTCATGTTTTGTTTTCAATTTCTCAGGGCACAGGTGATGAATACTGTCACTTTAGAATTGAGAAGAATTTGGAAACTGGATCTGTCAGTCTAGAATCAGTGCAACATAAAGGGATATATGTTGGTCTCCTGCCAGATGGCCAGACTAAGCCAGTCATTAATGCTGGAGAGAAGAACACTTTTTTCTACCCACAGGTCATCAAATGTATGTGATTTCTTAACATTGTACAGTTTGCCTTAGTGATTAGTATTTCTAACTGAAAAAAATCAAAGCAAAAGTGTAAAAGCTAAATTTAAACCATTTTACTTATCCTCTTTTGGTAATTTTAAAGCTGAAAAACTTACTGTATGCACACAATTTCTCCTGCATACTTAGCTAATTTCTCTACTTTTCTCTATTTTTATAGCAATAAATGATGTGGAAGAAATTTTTTTTTTTTACTAGTATATTCATTAAGTGATTCTTCTGTCCCATAGTCAGATTTGAGAGCTATTGTGGTCCAAAATCTTCCTCACTAGGGAGCTGACCTGTGTTAGTCAACTAACTAGGACTCAGAAATTAGCTCTCTGCACACTCTGGATCATGGCAACTGGATTGTGTGCTGGTCTCTTCTCCTGAGGAAGAATGAAAATTTTAATTCGTTGGACAATTCTCCAGGTTCAACCTGGAGAAGAGAAGGCTGTGTAGAGACCTCATAGCAGCCTTCCAGTATCTGAAGGGGACCTATAGGGATGCTGGGGAGGGACTCCTCATTAGGGACTGTAGTGACAGGACAAGGGGTAAAGGGTTAAAACTTAAACAGGGGAAGTTTATATTGGATATAAGGAGGAAATTCTTTCCTGTTAGGGTGGTGAGGCACTGGAATGGGTTGCCCAAGGAAGCTGTGAATGCTCCATCTCTGGCTGTGTTCAAGGCCAGGTTGAACAGAGCCTTGGGTGGCATGGCTTAGTGTGAGGTGTCCCTGCCCATGGCAGGGGGGTTGGAACTAGGTGATCTTAAGGTCCTTTCCAACCCTAAATATTCTATGATTCTATGACAATTAGTTACCAAACACAGCCAGCTGACTTGGATTATAACTGCAGAAAACAGTGGAATTAAGCACTTGTATTCTCTGGTGGACATTGCTAGAGATCAAGAAATGAAAAATCTCATGAGAAAGCTAAACTGGATATTTGAAATTGAAGAAATCAGTCAGGTTTTTTGCCAGGCACAAGCAGAACAAGCTCATCTTGAATGAGCTTGATCTTATCTTCAAGAGAAATTATCAAAATGTACAACCAGTCTTATTGTTAATTGTTCTATGTGTATTGTTACTGAGACACACAGAAACATTATGAAAGTCACTGTAACAGCACCCCTACCATTCAGTCCCTACTTGTTGCAAGGTGACAAGAATATTTTGGTCACTGTGTCCTTGTAGAAATGAGGAAAGTATATTTTTCTTTGTTACTTTTCGGAAGAGCAGTCTTTTCAATGGGAATTCTCAACAAAGCAGGGCTTACTGATGCCATTAAAATAAAGCTAAATATTACTTTGTTACAGGCTTCAGTTCTCCTGAATCCTTGTTGCTCAGTAAAAGTAAGATGAAGGGAGCTAATATTTTCCATGAGAACAACCAAGATTTGGTACTTTGTTATCAGAAATTGCCTCTAGCAGTTTTCATTTGAGCGTTCACTCTTAAAGAAAACATCATGAGGGTGGAGAAGTTTATTTTAGGGAAAACTGCATTTTAACTAGTCGTTTTATTCATGCATCCATGTTAAATAGTTACTCAGATTTTCAAAGCAGCAAAAGGGCTTTATTGGCATGCCAGATTTTTTTTACCCTTTTTGTGGCAAGCTACTAAATATAAAAGCCTATTGCTACTGGCTGTGCAATACTTAGAGTAACAATTTCAATGTCCACTGTGTTGAACAATTGTGAGATCTGTTATTAGCACTTGTCACTGAATGTATGTGAAGCTTCCAAGCAAGAAAAAGGAAATGTTTTGAAGCTAGTGACAAAATTTACATTTCATTGTTTCAGTTGGCCGGGAAAAGCCTATGGGAACATCTGCAGCACCCAATCAAGAGAAAAAAGACTTCAGTGAATCTCAGTTCCAATCAGCAAAAGCCCAGAAGCCAATATCTCAAAGTTCTTTAACTTTTCCACCCTCAAGTAAGAAACAGTTTATGAAGTAGCTGTGGTACACCATTGTGTTATGTCTGTCTTCCATGCATGTTTGCAGTGATTTTTCCCAGAAAGGCCAATGAATAGCTTTTCTAGACTATTGATTTATACATGCATACATACAACATAAAACACATTACTGGTTATTGTTTTTTAAAAGGACATTAGAATGTGGTTTACTGATAAGGCAATAATCTGTCAGTTGAATAACTTTGCATTGCTTTTGTTTTTAAAGTAACTAGCCATCTATCATAAGGGCTATTTTTGTGGAAATGAAGAGGTTGCTATGACACAGAGCCCAATCCAAAGATCACTGAAAGTAACAGAATATTTCTTATTTATGCTGTCTCTTACATATTCTGCTTTATGATTCACTGAGGGAAATAGGAAGGTTTTGGTGCACTGCATGCTAGCTTTATGCCTGTGTTTTAGCAGGTAGGAGTAGATAAACAATGTTCTCATCATGCTTCTGGAATGATAGTCTACTGGATGGGGTTTTTTTTTGAATAAACAACCACTTTCTTCTTTAGCAACAGAAATTGCATAAATCACAGAAGACAATGTTTTCCAAACTCAAAAAGTTTTATAGGAGTATTCGGCATCCTAGTAACCAAAGAAGATGTGTCAAACGGAGAATGATTTATCTCTTAAGGAGAGGGGATGATTATGTTTACTTCATGCCTCTCTTTTATCTCAATGTACCCAAGGATGATGTTTGCACGGCCTGAACCATGTCACATTGCCATGAAAAGCAGAAGGGATAAATGGGACTATTGAGCTTCACACAGCATATTGAGGCACATCCACATGGTGCAAAAATATCTGTTACTTTGAGTGAGCTTTAAAGACAAGGTTATATTAGAGATTCCACTAAGACAGACATGTTTAGTCAGCTGGAGGTAGTGTCAAAGGCATTCATGTACCAAATAATTCAGGTGGGTTGCTGATTTGATTTTGACCTTGGTCCTCAGTCTGCAGTTTCAAAGAGTACATGAAAAGCCTGGCAATGTGAACAAGACATCAAATATGCCATACTTGTTCATAGGGTATAATGTGAAGTATCAGTAAGGACTTAAAAAAAAAATTGTTTGAACTCTTAGTTCAAATCATAAGTGTGGATTATTATTATTAATTACTATTAATTGTTTCTTCCAATGTTTCTTCCATTCTTAGCTCAAAATACTCACTTTCAGTTTCTAATCTATCAGAATTCATGTTGTATCACTGTATTAGCCTTCCCAAAGTGTTGTGGGTTGTCAGCAATTGGTGAGATATGCTGTATTTGAAACCCACGGCAACAACACACAAGCCATCAAACCTGTTTTCAAAGAAGCTGGATGATTTTAGTGTTGGATACAAATGATCATTTTATAGAAGCAGTATCTGCTGTAAAATTGGTTACACAGAAACTATAGCACTTTGTAAGGAATATTTCTAACATTCATAAATTTGCACTCTGCTTATGCAAGATGAATAGAAATATCAAAGTTACTCTGCCCTTCAAAGGAGATGCTAATTTTTAGTAAGATATTTTAACTTAGAACACTTTAAAGGTTATTGACTTTTGATATGTATAGGTGAGCCTTAATTTTAAGCTGATAATCATTAAATACTCATTTACTTTTTCATTCCCAGATAACATTTGAAAAAGGGGTAATTGTATTGAGTACACTTAGAATGCAAACAGAGCAGATTAACCCGTAGGCTGACCAGGCCATCTTTTTTTATGTCTGTGTCTGCTAACCAGTAGCTGTGTTTTTGTGGATGTTTTCACATATAATAATTGATTTAGCATTAATTTAACTGAAAACTGTGCCACAGCACTTGGGGCTTCTCCTCTTGCAGTGTGAGTTCTCTGTTCCTCAAAAAATTTCTTTCATTGTAGAAGGATAATGGTAGGTCTCAGCTTTTACTTAACAGCTCATGGGATGGAATGAGCATCAGAAACAAGTCAGCTAAAATGCGAGCAAGATGCCATTTTACAGAGTCAAGACGGATCAAAAGCACTGCCCAAAACAGAAGGGAAATACTATATACATAGCTAGAGGACCACAAAGTCTAGGGGTAAAGGAGATGAAGCAGAAGACACTAAAACCTCAAAAATAACAATTAACATATCTGAGAAATTATTTCTACACCTACCATGTTCCTTTCCTGTGTGTCTGGGATACTGTTAGTTACTATTAATATTTAATATATTTTACTTACAAGAGAAAAGAAGTTTCTAATCAATTCTGATCTCATTTCCATTTGGATTACATTGGAAATGATGATACAAAAAGGTGTAATAAACATGTGTCAACTTTAGTGTCCAAGCTTCTGCTTTAAAGATTAGTTTTTCTGATGGTTCCCTTCAAAAGTGTCACTCAGTCATAACAATCATGTCTCAGAAGATCATTTCTTTTTGCTTTAGATTTAGGATAAGTAAATCAAAAATAAAGTTATTTTTATGAAACTGCATGAAGGGCTGTGACTTCACCATTCTCATGCAGACCTATCAGAATGAATTTTTGTCGGAACAGATTTACAGCATGGTGTCATGAAGTGTGTAAGCTCCCGTGACTAATGCAGGGTAACCATCAAATGCTCTTTTCAGACTGGAATATTTTTAGCCTGTAGCAAATCAATGCCACTGATTTCCATTTGTAAGAAAAGCCAGTAAATTATGAGGCAAAAAGCATTCCAAGCCTGTGAATTGTTTGTGCATTGTAATTGTTTCCAAGAGATAATAGTCTGAGGTTGCCGTAGCTGCTTAGGGTACTGTCGTGGTTTAAGCCCAGGTATGGAAATCTTGTGCTAAGCACAGGAGCAGCCTGGGATTCCCTATGCTTATTGAACACCTGTGCATTTCATGAAAATATTCATCTCTATATAAGAAAGGTGTGCATTTAGATAGCTGGAAGAATCTCTAGCTTTCAGAGTTATAGGTGAGAAGCTAGGTAACTACAGTTACAGAATGTTATATAGTCAAGTTCTCAAAAATATTTATTATCCAAGTAACTATTTTGCTATCATTCTTTCAGTTAGTGAAAGAAAGGTGTAATTAAGTTTTTAGTCAGGTAAATACAAGATGTTTGCCTTTTTGCTTTGATTTGAGTGTATGGATTTTCCTTTTTCTTTCAGAATAGCTTGTTCTCAGTCATGGTGAATAATCTAATAAACCCAGCAATTTTTATGACACTATTGCCTATTTCTAAATTACTGTATCCAGATAATTCCAAAGTCATACTACTACTACTACTACTACTACTGTTAAAAACACTGTTGTAAAAGCCATACTATTGCAGTTCTGAATTCTTAAAAATTAACCTAATTTTAGAATCTTTACCAAGGCTGAAATTTCCCTGACTCCAGAATTTAGTCCTTTCTTGTCATGTAACCTGGTACTCGATCCTAATACCTTTGCAATTACCTGTGCAGTTATTCCACATCAGTTAAGAGTTCAGTGCTAGTGCATCATAATTCAGGTTTGGTGCTTTAGTTGCCGTGTTGATTTAACCTATAGGACAATCGACTCAAGAAACTATGTAATTAATTTTAAGTCCAACTTTTAAGAGAAAAGGCATTTATTTACATTGTAAAAGTGACATTTAAGGAAATTTAAAGGGAAGATCAAGACCATGTCTCAGTATTGAATTGATCCGTCTTCGCTTACCCAATTTGTTTAGAGGTGTTTCAGCAGGATATGGAATTTGTTGCTCATAAAAGTTTATTGAAAAGCAGGTCTCAAGGATTCAAAACTGTTTTTCACTTTACCTTCAAACTTATATTTTAATGCTAGCAGCAAAACACAGATAAATTTTACAAATTTCTGTCATAGGTACTGCTTTATATTAGTAGCATCATAGAATGTTTTGGGTTGGAAGGGAACCTTAAGTTTCATCTAGCTCCAACCCCCCTTCCTCTGGCAGGGACACCTTCCACTAGACCAAGTTGCTCAAAGACATGGGCTTGGCTGGGATAGACTTAATTTTCTTCACAGGACTCTGTTCTGGTGCTGTTTTAGCCTGGTGACCAAAGCAGTGTTGATAACATACTACTGTTTTAGGTATTGCTGAACAGTGCTTGCACAGCACTGAGTCCACCTCAGTTTCTCTCTTTGCCTTCCCAGTGAGTAGGCTGGGGGGAGGGTGACAACAGCAAGGGCTTAGGATGGAACCTACTGATGGTAGGATGGATGGACCCCAGCTGAACAAAGAGATGCACCATACCATATATTGTCATGCTCAGAAATAAAACTGAAGCAGCTGTTCCTTGGGGACCAGCTGGGTGTCATTCTGCTGGAGGTGAGTGATTGTTGGTGCTTTTTTAACGTTTTTCTCTTTTTTTTTATTTTTTTATTTTGCTTTGAGGTAAAGGCAGTTTAATAAGTGAAGGAGGAAAACTCCAGCCCAGAGAAGCCCAGTGCAGTATTTTAAGCAAGCAAATAAAAAAAGGGCTCTAATAGCAAGGTATATAGTGCAGCAGAAACATACATAGTGATGCGGTGGGAATTCTTCAATAAATCCATACCAGTGGCTATTTATGAATTCTGCAAAATTGTAAGAAAATATCATTATGTGTTGGGAGCCTCTGGCCTCCAAAAGCTTGGTTCATAGAAAGCTGTGTAATGGATGAAGGATGAGCTGGGGGATAAAAAAGAAAACGAATCTGCAGCACAGATTATACTCATTATGGTTAGCATATTAGAAGTCTCTGCAGTTGCATGGAAAGGCCTCATGGAGAGCAGTTTGGGAACCCCTGCAGGGCACAGTATACAGATAATGTGTTAGTTCGTCTTTTCAAATGTAGGGTTTATATCTGCCTCTTGTGTCAGAACAGATTATAAATTCTTGTGGTCTTGTGATCCTGTTTTGGAGAGGACTTCATGATCAGTGGTCATGTTATTGAAAAGTAGTGTTCCAGACACCCGATGTTTGCAAACTCCACATTGATTAGAATATTCAAAACTAAATTCCTTTACTCTTTATCCAAAGAGAGTCTATTTTTTCAATTCTCATGTGCAGATGTGTCTCTTGAAATCTTTGTGCATATATGTATTTCTCTTAAGGGAGATGGAAGATCACTAGGTGTTATTCTAAAGTGAAATACCTGTTTTCCAAAATTATATTTGCTTATCCATTAAATCCATGAAACTTATTCATAAAGTGGTACTGTGCTGCTACTGTCTTATTCATACAGAACCAGCCTTAGCCCAGATGCTGGCACTGTATGCACAGGTATAATTGGGCAAGGCTACATTGTGCTTTTTTTTTTGGGTATTTTACAGTATTTAATTAATATTTAACTTGAAGAAAGTTAATTTCCTGAATGACTTCTCTTTATTCCATTTGAAATAAAAATTACCTGTATTCTCAGACATGTGATTCTGCTGATAATGTCCCAATACAAGGCATTAGAGGAGTATTAACAAGTAATTCTACTCATTTCTAAATGTCATAGTTCTGCATCACAGCATCCTTACTCTACATCAGAATATGTATGAAGAATAATATGATGATAGTGCACGTGAGAGATACTTGTTCTTTTCCAGCTGATTCTTGTAGCTCAACTGATCAGCACATTTTGGTCTAGACAAGAAACATACATCAATCTTTTCAGACTATCTCTCTTGCCATGGAAAAATACAATCCTCTCTCTGTTATGGTCTCCTTATGTGCTGAAGATACAACAGCAACTGGCAGCTTCATGATGATTTTTGTCTCCTACTAATGTTCTGTATTTCACAGAGGAAATGCGAAATCCCCAGGGTGATGAGTGTCCCCTTCCTTCGGATGATGAATGGAGAGTGTCAATGCTGACAGGAAATGCAGGAACAGAAGCAAATATCTCTCTCTGGATATATGGAGACAGAGGAGTAGCTGGACCAATAACTCTTGGCAAGGACAACAGAAAGCAGCTGTTTCTTCCCAGGCAGGAGGATGAATTTCAGGTAGCTAGTTAAGGCTAAGAACATTATTTTAATATGTACCTTTCCAAAGATTATTCTGTCATGTGAAAAGAAAAAATGTTTTTCTCCTATGTTTACTGCATAAAATAAACCCCTATCTAATCTCTATGAATTCTGCATTAAATCAGCTTGGTGCATACAAAGGAAATACTTTTTCTTTCAACCCCCTGTCCTTCACACAGTAGTCCAAATGGGACAACTGAGGGAGTAAATCGATTTCTTTAAGGCAATTGATTTGAAAGTAGCTTTAGAAACTGTCCACTCCTAAACAAACTATGCCTGATGTAAGACTTGTGTCTTTGGTAATTAAGTCTTCATGTATATATTTTTCAAGCATACTATAAAATGTATACTGTGGAACTAGTTCAGTTTAGGAAGAAAAACCTTCTTACAGCCTCCATATTATAAATAGCAGAAATGCCTGAAGTTTTACCTATGGAATTACTAAAAGCCCAATCAAATGAAAACACAGAGTTCTGTTATTATTTAAGAATAACCTCACCTCTCTTGTAGTAAGAAAATTATGTCTAGATAGGATGGGAGGAAACTACCAAAGGGGCTAAAATTTGTTTTACTTAAATCTTTCTGTCTGAGATGCATGTAACACATTCCTGTCTTCAGCTAACTGAAGCAGAAGTTATGTTCATCACATTTTGTTCAGATTTTTTTTCCACACTCATCAACTCTTCTAATACAATTTTGGCACAAACCAAGATTGCTACTCTCAATAATATTAATAATAACACTGTCTATGAATAGGGCATAGGCAGGAAGGTAACCAACTGTAATGTTCCTTTTAAAAGCATGTAAGCTATATATCATGATCCGTGGGGAATCCTGTTCTCCTAATTAGTGAATAATTTATAAGCAACCTTGGGTAATGGCATGTTTGCAGTGTTAATCCATACATTCTTAAGAGATGGACCAATTTCTCTTCTCTAAAATAGATATTACCCACTATGGCTGTGTGCTGGGGATATTGATCTTCTGAGAGCAGAATCTTTCAGCACCTGGGGCTACTACTATGATTCTTTACATCTCTCTTGACACTATTGCTTTCAGGCATGAAACAGCAAATGTCACCAAAGTGCATTTCACTCTTTAGTCTGCAGTAGATAAATCCACAAAGAAAAAGCCTCTGAGTAAGAGCTCTTTTTTCTTTTTTTCCTCTTCAAACTTTATCCTGCACTTGCTTAGCAGGATAAGTCTTGAAATGAAAGTAGGAACGTAAGACTTAAAAAGATTCATCTTCTTTTTTACCATTTACATCTTTGAGCTTGATATGTTTCCACTGATATTTTCCAGAGCAGAAGATACCAAATTCTATTTTTTTAAGAAATCAGTTTAATCATAGCTCTGGCCAGGATTTCAATGAAGAAAACAGATTTCAAAAGCCTGTTATACTGAGGCAATTTTAAATCAGTTTTTTTTTAACCTTTCACTTATCAGCAGCATGCCCAACTATGAAAAATTTGAGTAGAATTAATCTGTGGTCTTCCCTCTGTTAACTTAGCCAGGTGAGTAGTCACTGCCAGTAAAATATTTTCTAAGACTGTGCATGAAGAAAACCAAGGCTACCTGAGTTTTTTTTGTCTGGGAGACCTCTGCTTGTTTGAGGCAGAAATCACTCTTTGTATTCTGACAAAGTCCAGTGCATTTATGTTTTGTATTGATACATGAAATTATAATGTATTTTTTTTTAAACTAAAAGGCTAAAGAGAGATTCATTAGAATAAACAGACAACATTACAGCACTGCATATTCAGTGAACACCACCTCTGTGAATGAGAAGATAGTATCTCATGTTACATGAGAACTCAGTTGTTTTGTGAAATGCAGAAAATGACAATAGTTGGGTTTTACGTCAAGCTGTGTATATGACCTTACTTTACTACTGCTTTAATCCCAAAGTCTCCAGGTTACCTCTAGTAAGACTACTTATAGAGAGAAATATGCAGCATAAGCAAGGATACCAGAAACTGACTCCACCAAACAAAGCTATTTTCTTAAGCTGATGGAACAGACAGGAATCGTAATGTCCCATCGGTGCTGCAAGCCTGGAGTTAGTATTTATTTTGTTAATGATGAAATTCAGGTCAATGTAGCAACTATACAAATACAAATACAAATACAGGTGTGAATTCCACAGATTCTTTCTCAAACAACCATTGTGATTCACTGAGTGCATTTCAGTGTCCAGGAAATCAAGGGTAAAAGTTGTTTGCTTCTAAAAATCTTTGACTAAAGCATGATAATGTTGTAACATGAAAGTGTATTATACATAATATATACACACACATATATATTGTGTATCAGCCCAAAAGCTGATATAGGAAGTGAGGTAATTCTGATCTCTGAAAAGAGAAGAGGTATTTTTATTAATGAAGGTAAAGAATGAGTGAGTGGATAATACACTAGTAGGTGTTTCTAAGAGAATGAAAAGAAAATAATTTTTATACAGTGAAAATAGTTGTTCCGAATATGAATGATGGAGAGGATTAGGCTGTTACCAAGCTTTTGCTAATAGAATTGTTTTTTGAGAAATAACATTCTAAAGCACTTGTTCTTCCCTAGCGCTACATTAGAAATGCTCTAAAATGATTTATGTTCACTTTAAATAATGGCTAGACTTCAAATAAACCCCAGATAAGTGGCATAGGATGGGGTTGCATAGATTGGGGATTTCATAAGAGCATGTATAACGCTTGAAAGTGCAGTGACAGTGCAAGTAACTGCAAATCATAGTGAGAAGGCAAACACATCAGTCACTTCCAAAGTCTGCCAGCTTTTCAAAGCTTATTCTTTAAGGACTTCAAGAGTTTTCTGTCCTTCACTTTGACACACTAGGGTTTATGGTCATGTTGCTGTGCTCCATTATGAAAAATTTGCGATCTGTACTTTAGTGAATTAAATTTTATATTCTTATTGCTCTCAAGAATGGCCCTCACCAACATTTTTTTACTCTTCAAACTTTGAATAGTTCAAATCTACTAACTCATTTCTCTGGCAAGCACTGTGATTTCACTAGGCTATAACCTGGTCAAATTGGAGCATAGACAGAAATATGCTTAGACAAAACAGAAGCCAAAATCTGCCAATCAAATACTGTGTGCTGTTCCTGTACACTCAGATACTACAGTGGTTCAGAGAAATCTATAACCAATTAGAAAGATAAAGATGTAGTTGTACGTATCTCTTCCCTCCCTCTCTTCCTCCCAATGTGGTGTAGCTATATTTTTTTTCCAGAAATATAGCACAAAATGGATGAATGACAAAATGTAGAAATAAAGGGCAAATGGGGTTTGTGTATAAATGAAAACAGGGTTTTTGAATTTACTTCACATGTGATGATTGAAAATACAGGAAGAGAAATGTTTAGGGTATTTTTCTGGCAAGGTGTCCTGAAGGCTGTAACAGTTTTAGCCATAGAATTCACAGGCCTGTGCTTGCCATTGTGATGCTACTTCCGTATGTGTGGGAGACTGTGACTCAAATGTCTTTTATCATGAATTGGATACAGTGTTATTATATTAGACATGGCCTTCCTGAATTAAAATACAGCCTCTAACGGAAAAGTTTAAAGTGTAAGTTATATGTATTTTTGAATGTAGTTATATGTTGCATTGTTTTGGCTTTTTTCAGGTCAAAATAAGAAACATTGGGAATATCTACAAGATAAGAATTGAACTTGATGGATTACAGAATGAACACTCAGAGTGGAACTTACAACGGGTGAGATTTGTTTTGGTGACTTTTTTTGATGTTTTATTTCTTTTTATATGAACTAAAAGCCCATCTTTTCCTGAAGCCATATTTTTATGAATCAAAAAAGCTGATTATGATACATTCTTAGTGCTTTAGAGATGACAAAAAAGGGTGGTGAGACACCAGAGAAGGTTGCCCAGAGAAGCTGTGACTGCCCCATTCCTGGCAGTGTTCAAGATAAGGTTGGATGGGGCTTTGAGCAGCCTTGTCTAGTGGAAGGTGTCACTGCCCATGGCAGGGGGGTTGGAACCAGATGATCTTTAAAATCCCTTCCAACTCAAACCATTCTATGGTTCTGTGTTTCTATGTAAAGCACTGATACAGTCCATTTCCTGAGAACTGGAAATACGCAGGATTATTATGCAATTATTTCTAATTCATGTAGTTTATAGATAGGATTTTTAGTGTATTGATTGGTTCTAACAAGTTTTGCTTTCTGGAAGCTTACCTGCACTCTTCAGTGTATGTTAGGGAGATTATAGCTATAAATTCCATCTATGAAAAATGTGAAAATGATGTAGCAACAATTATTCCATGACAACTGCATGTGAAGAATGAACAAAGTTTGCTTAAGGGTAGGCTAGAGAAAGAAATTGCTGTCTTTTTTTCAGTTTGATGAATTAAGTCTTGCTCTGTGGTTGTGTTTTAACTCTATTTTTCTCATAATATTTGAGGCTGTTCACCAGATTAAATTTAAACTAAATTCCTGTTGACACTTGACCCCCCATGTAAGATTTAATTCAGAATTGCGGTTAAGTATTTGTCTTCTGTTTCTTACTTTGAATCTGTAAAAAACAGAAGTTTATCCTTTGCAGTTAATTAATCTTGAAAAGCCTGATTTAGGCAACCAGAAGGATTCTGCATTAACACAAAAGCTTTAACTGTTACTGTGCCAAAACTGAATGTAAGTAGAAATATTTCAGTTGATAAAATGTTGCAGGAATCCTACTCTCCATCCCAGTAGTTACAAAATATTTCTTTAACATACTAGTCCAAATTTCATAGGGTAACCCTGTGTTTAAAATATTTATTTTCATGGAAAGAAATCAGGTTGAAAGCTATATTTTTCTGACAAAGCTGTTAATATTTGCAGTTGTTATGAATCAGCAGTGGGAGCTCTGCCAATAAACATTAAAGATGAAGAATCACTGCTGCAATTGTATTTCATGTTAGAATAAATACCTCCTTTGGTGTTAAAAGCAGTGTTTATTTTACTATAAAAACTATTTTATTGTAAAAGTGAAATAAAGGCGTATATTGTCCTGATTTCCTACATGTTAGAGTTTGAAAGTGAATACTTGTTTTCATAATTTTGTTTGCAAGGCTTATGCATGCAATATGCACATTCAAAACACAAGTGCAGAAAGTTTTCTGGCACTGATTTCCTTTTGCTAGTGAAGGCCTATGGAAAAAATTGTAGTGAACATTGTTGCAATTCAAGACCAACAAAAACTGCTCTCATAAAAGAGAGGAAAGACTGCTGTCGGTACAAGAAACAAGTAAGAGAGCTATAATAATGTACAGTAGCAAATAACTACAGAATTCGAATTTTAACTAACTTCAGAGAAATATGTAGAGGGTGCTGGTACTCCGGCTGTTTTTTGTTCTTCCTGCTGTAGAAGAGCCAAATATAATATAAACTGACTTAATATTTCAACATAACCTCTCCTTGCCAAAGTTCAGAAGGATGCAAATGAAGAGTTTCATCCTGTTTTCATTTTAATATGAAAAAAGTTTCAATCTTTCCATGTCTTCCAAAGCTCAGTCTCACCTAACCTCACCTACAAGAAAGTTTTCAGTCTTTAGTACTCCAGTGTTACATAGAGGGGGCTCACTTACAGAAATCAGAATTGGTGACTTTTTTTTTTAGGGGCAAAAAAGCAATATTCAATTACAGCTTTGTTTGCTCCAAGAATAACATTATTTTAAAGTCCAGAGTGTATTCAAAGAATAAAGGCTGGCAGTTTCAGCTGCTATATCACAGGTGTGAGTAAAGATCCTCTCTAGTGACAAGCCAAGTTGCAAAGTAGTTGCCCAAATAAAAATGTTTTCGTACTACATTTTTGTATGTCATATTTTCTGGTTATGGTATTGTTTTCTGAGATAGAAGAAAAGGTACAAAAATATGTTTCACTGTTAAGAAGCAAAGCACTAGAAAGAGTGAACTGAGTCACAGCTGGAATTGCTTCTTCTCTAGGTGACACTGCAACATCTAAAGAGCAAGAGAACACTGAATTTTCCAACAAACACCTGGTTGTCAAAGAATCGTGATAATAGAGAATCTCTTTGTGAACTTCCAGTAGTGGAAGCTGGAAAGCCTGTCTATCCAAGTATGTGTGGACTTCAACTGCATAGTTACGTGTATATTACCTCATTTTCAGTATTAATGTAATCTGAATTATATTCCATTTGCTGTACATTCATATATTTGGTTTTAGCAATGTTAAAGACAGATAGACTGATTTCTGGAGAATATATTCCAGAAAATTAATTGCAAATAAGACTTGATGGCACTGTTTCTTTTCAGTTAAGCTTGAATAGTGAATAAAACTGGTTGTGTTACACATAACTTGTATTTTTTCTTTTGATTATTTTTGAAAGTTGTCATATACCATGTTTATGTCTACACTGGGGACTTTGAGCAAACTGATACAGATTATGCAGTTTATCTGTGCATCTATGGAAAAAGAGGAGATTCTGGTCTGAGACTTCTACATAAAACTGGTATACCCGTGACTTTTCAGAGAGGAATGGTAAGTCTGAAAAACCATTTGTTTAGTCATATAAGTAACTTGTATGTGCCTTAGAAGGTACCTAATAAAAAAGATCATAGAGGTTTACCTTTATTATTATTACCAAAATAATTTTTAGGAACTAAGGAAAATAATTTTCTGCTGATCCAGATATGACTAGAATGAGTAAAAATACAGGCAGGAAAAGGGGAAGAAAAATTATTTGAAGAACCCCTGTAAGGATGATGGTAAGAGCTGCCTATGAATTTAAAACTTACTCTGTTGAGCTGGCTCCTAATAAGTGCACAGAAATGGTTCTGGGATCTTGGATCTTAGTAGGACTGTTTGTTATGCATTTTTTAATGTATAAATGTATACATTATATATACCTTTTTTAATGTATAGTATTGTGATTAATACAGGATAGCTTTAAAGTAATTTTTCATTAAATTACCTCCTAACTCCTCCATGAATAAAATGGTCATCATCTTGATTTTCTGCAGTGTTGTACAGTTGAATTTCAGGAACTATTGAATTTAATCTTAGCCCTTCCAGTAGCCTTCTTATGACCTTCTATTTAGCTTGTATCTTCCTTTATGAGGTGTCGAAAATTAGCATTAGTGTGTCTAACAAATGGTATGAAGGTCTTAGTGGAACATTTAATTACAAAATAAAAACTAGTATCTAAATTGCCAAGAATAGAAATAACCTGCTGGGAAACCTCAGATGTAGCTATATTATTTTAAAATATATATTTGATATAATTTTAAATGTATAAAGTTCTCTTGAAATTGAAATTCAGGATTTATGTGGAATTTTCTAGAGGGGTTATTCTTGATAGTAAATTCAGGATACTATTTATACAGGGGCTAAGGGTTGTAGTTCAAAGTGCATTTTGTTATGAAAATGGGTGAGTGAGACAGTGGATTGTATGGAGCAGCAGAACAGGCCTGGGATATGGCATTTTATGACAGAGGCAGTTGAGCTGACTTAAACAACTTAATTTTATCCCTGACACAGATATTCTACATAATATTGGGCAAATCACTTAAAATAAAGCTTCCCTGAGTGACTATTTTTTGTATGCTTCTGTTTTGCTACAAAATCAGTTTAACTTTTCTGAGCAACCACAGCTGTAACTGAGATTTATTCAGAGAATTCTGCTCTGCACTTAGTAAGCTCTTTGAAATTCTAAATATGCTGATAAACTAACTCTTCTGTTTCTTGATTGAGTACCCCAACTACTTTACATCTTTGGCAGGTTTTGGCAATAACCTCAGTGTTTTAACTATATAAGTAAAATGAAATTTGTGTAGATGGCCTGTAAAATTGCAAAAGTGAAATCACTGGGAAATCAGTTCTGTTTCACTGAACTCTTTGGGTGGATGCACTAAATAATGCATAGAATCATAAAGATAGTGAAGATAAAAAGAAATATTGAAAAGCTGCAGTCCCACCTGTGCAAAACTTGAGGCAGTGAGAGAATAGCTTGTGATCATATATTACATATACACAAAGGAGAAGTAAAGTTGCATGGGCAGTCTCAACTCTGCCGTTTGCTAAAAACCGGGAGCTTTTCACACAGGATTTTTCCAGTGTAATTCTTTCCTCCATTTTCCTTTTACTGAGTTATCTGGACTTTACATTTGGAGAAAGAATGCTGTATGCCTTCTACTGTGACAGAAAATCACCAACCTGAGCCCTTCACCTGATCAGCTTCATGCTCCTATGAAAACAATCTTTACCAGCTGTAAGCACAAGCTTAAATGAATAACAAGAAGAAAGTGGTATATCAGATTTCAGTTTCTTCCAACAGAATAAAGTGTAAATAGAGGAGGTGAGACAAAAATGAGAAAAAGATGAGAAAGTCTGTATTTTAAATAAATATTAAAAAAGGAAATAATAACTTCAACTCGTTCTTACCTGGAGAATAATTGTAAATGCAAGGTATTAAAACAGTGGTGAAGGGTTGTATGCAGCTTTTTGGGTGATGGATGAAAAAACAATTTATTTGGGATTATTACTGCAGTCTGTTTTTGGTTTTGTTTTCTCTTTTGCTCTGATAGGTAATCAAAAGACTTTTGACTTTTCAGATGCAAGCACTCTGACAACAGTTCAGCTGTCATTAAAAACAACGGGAATCTTTGTATACTGTGAGAGTTAATCAGGCTTTTAAAACACTTGAACTTCTAGTCTGACTTAGTGGTGGCAAATTGCAGAGTGCTGTCTCCTCTGTCTTCTAGGTCAATGCTTTTGAAGTGGAAGCTGTGTCTCTTGGAAAACTGCAGAAGGTGCTGTTGCGCTGTGAGGCTAATGCCAAGTCCCAGTATTGGTACTGTGACAAAGTTATTGTTAGAGAAGCTGAGAACAAGTTGGAATATGTTTTCAATTGTGCAAGGTAGTTTTTACAACAATATTCTTAAATATTCTTAAATGTGTATCACCAACATTATTCTCCCAATCATTGTGCTAAATATGAATTTTCCAGAGAAAGGCAAATTTGGATTATTTTTCAGTTTCATAAAATCCACAAAAAATATGTTGTTCTACAGCAAATTGCTGGAGTTAATATCCTGCATGTTCCATAACAAAGGTTAAAGGCTTATGTTGTGGCTGTGTTTCTAGATCGTACAGTGCAGCCTTATCATACAAGGATCACTGCTATAAGTGTGACTTACCTATTCAGGAAGAAAAGATAACACACACAAAATGGTTGAAAATTAATTGTATTTCTAAATGGGAAAGAAAACATATTTGCCACTCAGAAGTGGAGTTCGCTTTCTTTATGAGCAGCAGCATTGCTAGTGAGAAAAATGTAATTCTGAAGTCAGAATTATTTTGTGGGTTGTTCCATTTGAAGTTATTAAAAAAAAGCATCTTAAAAGTCAATTGATAAATACGTGTTTTGTGTGTTTGGATAAATATTATAGCAATCCCACATTGAGAGTTTCTAGTTTTGCAGTCTATCTTGTTATGTGCATCATTAATGTGAAATGAAGGAAGCCTAGAGAAACAACGTGATCATGTGACAAGGCACTAGAATGAATAGTATTTAATTAATAATATTTTATGGAATCATAGAACACCAGGTTGGAAGGGACATCAAGGATCATCTGGTCCAACACATCTAGGCAAAGCATGACCTACACTAGACGTCAAGCACCCTGTCCAGCCAAATCTTTAAAGTGTCCAGTGTTGGGGAATCCACCACTTCCCTGGGGAGATTGTTCCAATGGCTGATTGTTCTTATTCTGAAAAGTTTTCCTCTTGTGTCCAATCAGAATCTCCCCAAAAGTAACTTGTGCCCATTACCCCTTGTCTTTTCCATGTGACCCCTTGTAAAAATGGAGTCTCCATCTTCTTTGCGGCTACACTTTAAGTGCCAGAACACGGTGATAAGGTCTCCCCTCAGCCTTCTTTTATCAAGGCTGAACAGACCCAATTGTCTCTCAGCCTTTCCTCATACAGCAAGCTTCCCAGTCCTTTGATCATCTTTGCAGCCCTTCTCAGACCCTTACCAGCCTGTCCATATATTTTTTTTTATAACAGGGACCAAAACCAAATACAGGTGTGGTCTGACAAGTGCTGAGTAGAGATGAGAGAAATTTTATGAATTTAATTAATAATATTTAATCTATGAAGGAGGCCTAGTTTTTTTGTCTGGATTTGCATGAATTTATATATATAATACAGAACATCTTCTTCCAACTCTTGGTAGTCATATCGTGAAAAACAGGAATAAAGATGTTCTCTCACCTTGAGAAAACTCTAAACCTGCGATCTTTCTTCAATAAATAATATGGGTTTTAGTAGCATAGGACTAAAGAGAGCTTTAAAAAGAGGTTTTTAGTAGTATAAGGCCATATAAGATTTGGATCTACTCTCTGGAGCAGATTTGGATTCAGGCCAGCTGCCTACCTCAATCATGAAAAATCGTCTCAGTTTCATGGCTGTCCTCCAGTGGATAACACGGCTCAGGGACAATGCATATTAGGGCAACACATCTTAGGAATGATGCAAGTCAGGGCACTTTGCTGTATTAATTCTGTGATAGTTAACACCAGATGTTGATCAGAAAAATTATCCAGTGACAGACACTGTTAAAAAGAAAGAGAGAGAGATTTTTTTCATTCCTGACTTTTGTATAAGGAAACAGTCACAGAAAAAGGGTTAAAATAAGTCAGTGGTGAGGGGCAAGGGCAGCTTCCATGTTGGCCAAAATGTAAAGCTGAAACACTGCTCTCTATTCAAGTTTTTGCTCTTCAGAAATCTCTCAAATTTATTAAATTTCAGCTTCACAGCTTTATTTTACATTGATATTTTATTATCCAGGGCATGAAAAAAATGCTGTATTTTTTCTTGTTTGACAAGGAAACATCAGCATTTTATCTGACTTAAAAAATCTGATATTAGTTTCAGAACATCCAACAGCCCTCACTGGGTTTCAGTTAGTATTTGCTAGTTACAGACTGATATTTTTTAGCATTTAAGATTGCAGAAACTGCTCTGAAGTCATCCTGCCCATGTCATACTGGATTCCCAGTGTGCTTCATATGAGAGGGAATGGGTTAGGTCATTCCTGGAGAGTCCATGGAAATAGACCAAGTAAATAAAAACCAACAGCCCATAAACTTGCTGATTTATTTTTTTTTCCCTAGTAGAAAAGCAGCTGATTTTTCACCAAGCAGGGAGAAGTTAAAACAATTGATAATTCATGTTCTGGATGGAAAGGTTTGAAAATTATCCATAGCCTAGAGTAACATGATTAAGAAACCCAACCAATGTTTGCCTCAAGTTGTACTTTTTCAGATTTATAAATCTCTCCTCAATTTCTAAGAGGAATAAAGAAGAGCAATATTTATTTCAATCTTTGTTTTTAACACTGAACTTTGATTTTAAGAAACAATGTGATAGGTACATACAAATTATACTTAACACTCAATCCATAGTACTGAAAAATAGTTCAGTGCCATATTCTTCTGCTTAGCTATACAAATAAGTACAGTCATGCCACATGAGTCTCTTAATATGGCATGGGTATATTTTGCACTTAATCAGCTCTTATATTTGCACAAATAAAAATCTTTGTTGGGTCAAATAATTTCTACTTTAACATCCATCAAATACCAAAAATTTAGAGGTATTTATGTTACATATATTCAGCTTGAAAATAAGATGTTGATCATTCAGTTATTTGGTATATGATGGAGAAAAAATTGATTCCTACCTGCTTTCTTATTCTTAGGTGGCTTCCATTTATGTCCCAAGGTGTGATTCATTCAGAAATTGAGCTGTACCCTCAAGGTAAGTTTTATTCTAACTTTAGGGAAGTAAGATCAGTAATTTCTAATTTCTTCTCCGAAGAAATCTGGGCTGAATTTAATTTACACTTTAAATATCAGGGTTAACAATTTTGCAGCTTCCTTTGTTATATTTCTGGGAGTATATCCTTTGTGTTTGCATTGTATAATGTGTGTACATGGTCGTGAGACAGCAATGAGGAATGAAGAACGAAAAATTTTTGTATTGGCTAGAAGCACAGAATGACTTTTCATCTCTTCTTTCAAACCTTTGCTTTAATGTTAAAGGATAGACCCTTTATTAAATTAACTTTTTTTTTTTTTCAGAATTTCAAATAAATCAGCAGCTGAAAATGCAAGAAGAAGCAAATGGTAAATGCTGCTCTAGTCTTCAGTCTAATGAAGCCAGTTTCTATTTCAGAACTAATTGCTTAAAATATTTTTTGCCATTTTTATTTATTTTACAGCATTAATTACAATACAGTTTGAATATTTTAGTAAACTCTGAACTTCACATTTTAATTTAAACAATAATATTTTTTTTATGCTTTCTTTTTATCCTGCCATTTTTCTTTCCATAACATTGATTTTCTCTCTGTTTGGCTGAAAATTCTTATTTTTCTAGGACTTTTTTGGTGATCTATCTTAATTTCATTTTTTTATATGATTCTTTCTCCTGGGCTATATATAGTTTTGTTCTCAACATTAACTTTTCCGTTTTCATTTTTACCTGTGATTTCATATTTGTTCAGCTTGATTTTTCTGTCCTTGCAGCCAGTGCAATTAAATTACATTCCTTAATAGCACATAACAGTTTCTCAGCTGTGAGAAGTGCTTCATGCATATTACTGAACAATAATTTAGAAGCTGTTGGGAGAAAGTTTGAAAATGTGTATTCATAATTTGTCAGTCAAGATATCCATGATGACCCAAATACCTTGTCTTATTGTCCGTATGGCAAGTAGTTAATGATAAAATTTGTACCCAGTAATTATACAAATTATATCAAAATTCCACTCTATTATTAACTTTATTATGAATCACAAGTATCTTTGCCCGTCTTTATTTCTATGCCTTTTTCAGAAAGTACTGACTTTCTATCTGCTGATCACTTTGTGCCTTAGCTGTTCTGCATGCTTTGCTTCCACAAGGCCTGCATATAGAAATCCTTCTTTATGTAGTTCAAATCAACCTGATTTGTCCTTTCTGTACCTACAGTTGGATCTCTGTGCAGTGTCATTTAAACTGTGCTTGTCTGGTTGTGCAGTAAAAGTTGCAGCAGATAAAAAATTCCTCATAAACCTAACAAAAGATTACAAAGAGTAGAAGTAAACTAAGTGTATATCAAACTGACTTATCTTCAGGGAAGACTGGCTTTGTATTGCAGTGAACATTTTGCTCACAGCACTCTCATCCTGACCCTGTGAGAGAAATGTCTTTGTGCTGCCCAGAAGAGCTGGTCAGCTTTGTCATTGACAAAACTTACCCTTTGTCAAAATGGACCTGTTTCATGGAAACATGAGGTGGGTTGTTGCAAATGTCTCAAAGTTAGGTAGCCAAAGGCATACACATCAAATAGCCTCTTGTTTCAGGCAATTACCAAAATATGTAACAGTGGGAAAGAGACTTGAATTTACGTATTCCACACCTACAGAGACTGCTTCAATTGAGGCTGAGTAGATGATCTGAGATATTTTTCACCTAGTTTTTTCCCATGAGTCATTAAGTACATCTACCTCATCAGAACAAATCCCAGCATTTTATACCAAAGAGAATGAGAATGATGTGTTTGTAATACTTACTATTTCTAGTTTCTATTTGAAAGTATGGAGTAATGTAATGAGGATTTCTGACATCAAAGAGATAAGAAATTTTAGGATTCTTCTTCCATACCCACAATGTCTTTCAAACACAAAGTCCTGTCTGTTTCCAAAAGCCCAAAAAGCCTCAAAGTCAATATAGAGGAGTGCAAACCAAAACTCCTTTTTATCATGTTTTTGTGGAAGTTTGATTCCTTTTTTAACCTTGAGAATTGTGCTTCTGTGCAAAATAGTTTCCTGACACATACACCTCTCCTTTGGAAGTGGGAGTTGAGCTAGCTAGAATATACAGTCTGAAGAGAGCCAACTGTGTTGTTTCAAAATTGCATTGCTTAATGAAAGAGAAACTTGGAGAGGATAATAGAATATACAAGGCCATCAAAACCAGAGTTACAATAAATCAGACAATGAACAAGTCCAACAAAGAATACATTTTGCCTGCTTGAAAATGAATATTTGTTTCTGAAAGACTTGACCTTTTAGGAGGGGGAGTGCATTATATTTTACCCTTTGGCTACTCCATTTTTCACAAGCACTTGTAAATTGACTTGTCATTATTCTCTGGTAAAATGGTCCAAAGGAACTTTGTCTTTAAGGAATTAATATTATACTGTTTGAAAACAGAAGAGGCCGACTTTTATGATAAATGAGCTCCTCCATGGGGCACTGAGCCCCTGCCTTAGTTCTTTGTTTCCACCTTCAGTGTGTAGAGGCTTTTCACATTCTAATTGATATTGGTCCTTTCGTAGCCTGATGCTGTGGTACTTTTCTCAAGAAAGTGGGTCTACAGAGAAAGTGGTGAGGATGTACATTTTCAAAGGTATAAAAGAGTTTACTACAAGCTGGAGTCTGATCATTTCTAATGGAAATTAAAGATTATCTAGTCCACCCACCCACCACAGAAAGTGACCACATTGTCTTACTACCCTTATTGTCAAAAATTCCTCCCTTATGTCCTACCTAAATCTACCCTCTCAGTTTAAAACCATTCCTCCTTATCCTGTCACTATAGGCCTTGGTAAAAAGTACTTGTCTTTTTCATAAACTCCCTCTATATATTGAAAGGTTTAAAGAAGGTCTCCCTGGACCCTTCTCTTCTCCAGGGTGGACAACAACCTCTCTTCATAGGGGAAGTGCTAGATCCCTCTGATCATTTTTGTGACCATCCTCTGGACCTCCTCCATCAGGTCCATGTCTATTTTGTACTGGGTCCCCAGAACTCAGCACAGTATTCTAGGTAGGATCTCACAAGAGTAGAGTACAAGGGGAGAATTACCTCCCTCAACCTTCAAGGTTTGACTGAAGAGACAATGAGCAGTTGCTGTCTGAATTCCCAGCTGTGTATTTAAAAGTTTATCACCTTCCAAACCAGATGTCAGCCAGACCTCAAAAATTTGGAAAACTGGAGGTAAAACTTCCTGCTAGAGTACAGTCTTTCTTGGGCAAATTATTGAAGGATAATGGGGTGGGGCCAAGATAAATACTTCTGTCAGACAACAAATTTAATTCTTGCAGGCATTACCAGACAGGTTTCTGTTGATAAAACTGCAGTTTACAGTTGTGGTTTAAACCCAGGCAGTACCTCAGAACCACGCAGCTGCTCGCTCACTCCCCCTCTGTTTCCTCCCTGGCTCTCAGAGGGATGGGGAGGAGAATTGAAAGAAAGTAACTATCATGAGTTGAGATCAGAACAGTCCAGTAACTAAGGTATAACACAAATCACTACTGCTACCACCGATAATAATAATGATAAGGGAAATAACAAGGGAAGAAAATACAACCGCTCATCACCTGCCAACTGATACCCAGCCCTATCCGAGCAGTGATCTAGCCCTTCTGGGTAACTGCCCCCAGTTTATATAGTGGGCATGATGCGCTGTGGTATGGAATACCTCTTTGGTTAGTTTGGGTCAGGTGTCCTGTCTCTGCTTCCTGCTGGCTTCCCCTCCTCCCTGGCAAAGCATGAGACTCAGAAAGTCCTTGATCGGAGTAAATCTTACTTATCAACAGCTAAAAACATCGGTGTTATCAGTATTGTTCCCAGGCTGAAAATCAAAACCACAGCACTGCACCAGCTACTGAGGAGAAAAAATACTGCTATAGCTGAACCCAGGACAACAGTGTGGCATTTATTTGTAAGGTGACTGTGGGCTGGTATTTCATTTGTCATTTGCCTTCTACAGAATGAATTTCAGTTGCTGAGTGGAGCTTGTTTCATACAGGCAAAAGCTGCAATGAAAAAAGGGGTGGAGAGTGTGCAATCCCAGCTTTTCAGATGTAGAAATTATGTATTGTTCTTTCTTTAAATAAGATTTTGTTAAGCTGCTTACAGATATTTAAAAAACTTTTGTTCATTGTATGGGAGAAGAGATGACATTTCAGTGTCAGGGAAGTTTTATATAAAATGATTTTCTAATGAGTCCTCATCTAGTGTCAGAATTTTCTCCAAAACCTTTTTTTTTTTCATGCTAATTCCAATGTCATACCTCCATCCAGGCAAACAGAGCTCTTGTTGATGTGTCATATCAACATAAAATGAGACAAAATTGTACTTAATTGGGATGCATTACTGCTTTTCCTTGTTTCATTTCTTGGTTATGTATGTTATCATAATCCTAATTCTGAAGGTTAGGCTTTTCCCGTGATGACCCATAGGGTTGTCACTAGAAATCTCAGCAGGCTGTGTTTATATATCCAGTACACTGAAAACCTCCTAAGTCTTTAAAGTTACATAAGTTGCCCAAGATGAGTTTGAATGATGTAGTATTTCACCAATATTCTGTTGACTCTCCCAGCACCATTACGTTTTAGGCAGGGGTGTTGAAACTACATGATCTTAATGTCCTTTCCAACCCTAACCGTTTCTTGATAGTAGCTATGGTCCCTGGGCTAAACTATGCTTTTATTTATATCTTTCAAGTAAACTGCTACATATGACTAACAGTAATGAAAGCATTTTTATTTTTCACTTTACAGAAGAAGACTGGAAGATTACTGTAGTCACTGGGGATTTTGAAACAGCTGGCACAACAGCCACAGTATCCCTTTACGCTTATGGAGAAAACAAAGCTTCTGGTCCTATTATATTGGGATCTGGGAAACACCACCTGTTTAATCCCAACAGTGAAGATATATTTAAGGTACAGTATGGCTGTTATATAAACACTGGAGAATGAAAACCATATGCAAAATAGCTTTTCTCAAAACTGGATAATAACAGTAATGAAAAGGACTCAAAGCAAATACGTAAGGATCATTGTTTCTGAGGGAGTGGCTGACTTTTAGGACAGTAAGATTTGAATCAGCAAATGTATTCATAACTGCATCAAACAGACGTGCCTCTCTCAGAATCTGCTTCATACTTGCCTTGCCTTTGCTTGATATGCTACTTTCAACTAGATGCTCATTTGCAGAGGTAGAAAAAGCTTTTTTGACTGTTCTTTGCATTGATGTAGTAAGAAAGAGAGTCGTGGCTATGGCTTGTGTTGCATATCTGTCTTTGGAAGTGTCCAGTGTAAGTTCTTCCATGGGTTTCCTCAGACTTCCACTGAAGCACACTGTCATGGGAACCTTTTCTTTGAGAAAGTAGGAAGGAAGGAGTGGGGGACACATACTGGCTAATAACTAGAGCCAAATCACACTGAGTAGGTTAACTCAAGTGATTTAGGCTAGTGGTGTCCTACTTCTCCAAGCAAATGGAGGGATTTCTCTATTCTTCAGAGAAACCTCTGAGAGGTGCTTCAAAAGCATGACATTTCCCAGGGTTTTTCTAACTTCCTATAAGTCCTACAATTTCTTCCAATTCCTGCTGTATACTCAGAAGTGTACCAATTGCTAAATCTGTGCTATGTCATTTAGGTTGAAATAAATTATGCATAATAAGCAGATTTTGGGGAATCAGTGACAGATGGGAGAGGAAGCTTCTCTGATTTATTTGCTTATTTAATTAATTAATTTAATTTTTTGTTTTCCAGTTTGAAGTAAAAATATGTAAAAGTTTTTGAAGAGTGAAGTCAGTGGTGGTCTTTCCCTTATATTTATTTGAATTGAAAGTAACTTAGCTAAAGTTTTCAGATAATGCTGGTTTAAGATTAACTTATATGTCAAAACAAGAAGGTGAAATCAGTATTTCTCTGAAGACTAAATTTAAGTATTACTTTTCAAATCATTCTGGCACCAGGAAGATGTTGCCAAACTCTTTTCAGTGGTGCCCAGTGACAGAACAAGTAGCAATGGCAATAAACTAAAACACAGGAAGTTTCACTTCAACAGGAGGAAGAGCTTCTTTATGTTGAGGGTGGCAGAGCACTGGAACATGTGCCCAGGAGGAGCTGTGGAGTCTCTCTCTCTGGAGGCATTCAAAACCCTCCTGGACATGTTCCTGTGTAACCTGCTCTAGATGATCCTGCCTTGACAGCGAGGTTGGACCAGATGGTCTGCAGAGGTCCCTTCTACCCCTAATGATCCTGTGAGATGATCATCTTGGATATTTATTCAGATGGTTAATGGTACCTGACAGCAAGTTCTTACTCATTTATTCAGTCAATTGAGGGAAGTACCATCTCATTTCAGAATCCCTTAGGTCATAGGTATAATCAGAAGAAATGGCAGAAAAATGGCCCATAAAAAGAGAATGAGACAAAACTGGACTGTATTATCTTAATAAAAATCAAGAATGCTAGTCTGATAAAAAGTACAGTTAACTGTATAGTAACTTAGGTATCTAAAGTAAATAATTAATATTCAATATGTTCAAATAATGAAAAAAAGGAAACCTATTAAAACGAGTATATCAAAAGTGCATCAAAAGGAGCGTGACCAGCAGGTCAAAGGAGGTGATCCTGCCCCTTTACTCTGCTCTTGTGAGACCTCACTTGGAGTATTGTGTGCAGTTCTGGTGTCCTCAACATAAAAAGGACATGGAACTGTTGGAACAAGTCCAGAGAAGGGCCACGAGGATGATCAGGGGACTGGAGCACCTCCTGTATGAAGATAGGCTGAGAAAGTTGGGGCTGTTCAGCCTGGAGAAGAGAAGGCTGCGTGGAGACCTCATAGCAGCCTTCCAGTATCTGAAGGGGGCCTATAGGGATGCTGGGGAGGGACTCTTCATTAGGGACTGTAGTGATAGGACAAGGGGTAACGGGTTCAAACTTAAACAGGGGAAGTTTAGATTGGATATAAGGAAGAAATTCTTTCCTGTTAGGGTGGTGAGGCACTGGAATGGGTTGCCCAGGAAGGTTGTGAATGCTCCATCCCTGGCAGTGTTCAAGACCAGGTTGGATGAGGCCTTGGTAGAGATGGTTTAGTGTGAGGTGTCCCTGCCCATGGCAGGGGGGTTGGAACTGCATGATCTTAAGGTCCTTTCCACCCCTAACTATTCTATGATTCTGTGATTCTATAAATGGTAATGGTGCTCCTCTTTATACTGCTGAGATTTTGTTGCTCATCAAGAACTTGATTTTGACATTGCTTGCATTGCTGTGTACAGCCAGCATAAATCCGTTAACTTCAGCTGTCTGTGATGAAGGCTGGTGTAATGCAGGTAGAATGAAACAAGGCTATCGCCCTTGGAAATTTCCATATGGGGGTTGCACATGAAATACACTGAAGATAATTTACAGTTGTTGTGCGATAGGGAGAATTCTTGTTTCTGTCTGGGGTCTTGGGTTCTAGGTTCTTACAAGATAGTTGTGTGTAAACTGCATTATATTTGCCCTTGTGGCTTAGAAAATTTTTTCACCAGATGGGAAGGTCAGGGAATGGGAAAGAAAAGAAATTTAAATTTGATGGATTTCCCTTTCTGCTCTATAATTGTTCCTGTGTGTTCAAAGAAACTACTTCTAGGCTATGATTTTCTGCTTCTGTTACTACTCAGACATAGTTTTTGGGGAATAATTTTTTCTGGTGAGAGTCATTCTTCCTCCAATAGAGGGGTATCAATCTACCAGAAGTTACAGCTTTCATCACAACTGTGATCTGTTTCCTCCGTTTCCTCTGGTATCATCACAGTCCCTAAGTATTTCTCAGTATTTAAAAAATACTGATTTTGGCAGTATGTTGCTGAAGACACTGAAACTTTAATTATGCTATAAATTATATTCTCCAGAGCCCTGTATTCTGCGTCATCATTCTTTGAAATATGACAAATTCTCTCTTATGGCTGTACACACTGTTGGATAAAGAAATTATTTTTATAAGTATTCTTTTAATGTTTGGTCATGCCATATATTCCATTCTGTGTCAAAGAGAAGTAGTCAGAAGCCTATAAGCTTCTGTAAAAGCGAGCTACAATTTTTAAATTTTTATTACTTCAATACAGAATAATTCTGTGTCTTTAGGTGCAAGTTCTGCTCTTCTAGTAATAATAAAGCCAGTAAAAATACTGACTGGTTCAGTAGATCTGCTTTCAAAATATTGCAAGCCTTAGTGAGAGTGGCAGGACCTAGCACCTCTTTAGCAAGAGCTCTTCCATGCTTGGCTTTATGAGTTTGCTTCATTATTGTCCCTGCAGTCTCTTTGGGGTGATGTTGGTCTTACTGATCTCAACACTTTATCAAGTTTATCTTAAATAACGCTACATTGACAGGCTGAGAAAGTTGGGTCTGTTCAGCCTGGAGAAGAGAAGGCTGCGTGGAGACCTCATAGCAGCCTTCCAGTATCTGAAGGGGGCCTATAAGGATGCTGGAGAGGGACTTTTTATCAGGGACTGTAGTGATAGGACAAGGGGTCAAGGGTTTAAACTTAAATGGGGGAAATTCAGATTAGATATAAGGAAGAAGCTCTTTACTGTGACAGTGATGAAGCACTGGAATGGGTTGCACAAAAAAGTGGTAAATGCTCCATCCCTGACAGTGTTCAAGGCCAGGATGGACGGAGTCTTCAGTGACATGGTCTAGTGTGAGACGTCCCTGCCTTAAAGCCCTTTTGAAACTTAACTATCCTATGATTCTATGATATTAAGCTAGTAAGAGTGCTGTTTTTTTTTCCTAAGAAACGTTCAAAATCATGACTTTAATCTTATATTTTGTAATTGATGGCTCTTTTTGTATGGAAGATAGTTGTTCCATGTTTGTAAGTATAGGACATGGAGTGTGCATGATATTTTAGGATAATTGAAAGCTGGAATCCACCCCTGGTGTGAATTTTGCTGCATAAGTCCATTTCTCTAACTTGTAAAGCTGGTGCCATATCCAGTTACACTATTCAAGTTTTTTCATCTGTATAAACAGTCCTTTAAACACTGCCATACTCTATCAGGGCAAAATGCCAGAAAATGTTAGAGGTAGATGAAAAGCAGAGATCCTACTAATACTTGCAGAGATAATTGATCATAAAACTTAATGAATAGTTTTCCTGTGATGAGATTATATAAATCTCAGCCTTTTTCCTTCCAGTTACTTGTACCTTGTTTGTAAAGAATTGTGTTCATCAAGTGCACCTTATGCTGTATTGCATCGCATGGAGATGTTAGAAGCTTATCTGTTGCTTTTCATTTTGGTTTCTTCCTGTTTAAATAAAATTATCAGTCATTTTAAATAATCTATGCATTAATAATTGAAACTTTTTTGTTTAAAATCAGCCCTACTCTTAAGGATCTGTTGTGTTTCATTGCATGTCTTTCTCTCCTGCACCCTGGATCAATATTCATTCTTTCATCAGTCAAAACAGAGATCTCTAGAGTAAACCAAAATGTTATAAAAACAGGTTGAAACAAATTGATTTTCATGCTTTTCCTCCCATTGTTAAAATAAAAGAGCCTGTAATGAGCTCAGTGAGAATTCTTCTCAAGTGGGAAGATTGCAGAAGTAACCGCAAGCATTAATGTAGCTGTCACCTCTCTTAACTATAGGACTTCCAGTGCCTAAAAGCTGGGCATAGCTTGTGTTCTGCTATTTGCCAGCTGTCTCTGTTTGGCCAATTAGGTCTAGTTGAATAAAACTTGGAGAAACTAAGGCTTTAGTCAGATATGCTTAAGACAGCATAAAACAGCCATACTGCTGGCTTTAACTCCGCTTGAAACTGTCCATCTCTCTGCAAAATGTATATGGTAACAACATGAACCTCATTCTGTACTGGGGTAAAAGGAAGAAGTATGTAAAACCAACTTCATCAGCTACAGGCTGTGCATGAAGCAAAATTC